ACAATTCTAATTTAAAGTTAGGCAACCGCAGTTTTTCGTATAAATTATAGAAATGTATCACAGGTTCTCAAAGATTAGGCCTATAAAAATACATCCCAGGTTCTCAAAGAGTAGGCCTATTAAAACACATCACAAGTTCTTATACAGTAAGCCTATAAAAGTGCATCACAGGTTCTCATACAGTAGGTTTATATAATACATCACAGGTTCTCATACAGTAGGTTAATATAAAAACATCACAGGTTCTCATACAGTAGGCGTATATAAATACATCACAGGTTCTCAAACAGTAGGCGTATATAAATACATCACAGGTTCTCAAACAGTAGGCGTATATAAATGCAACACGTGTTCTAAAATATAAATATAGCCGCATAGAGAGTTTCTCGACTTTTTGTTTTTGAAAGGGATCAAATTTTATTTCGAAGGATAACTTTTAACAAATGATTTTCTTTAAAAAAATATTTTTATGTCTATCTATCCAGACAAAAAAAAAATAAAGCAATACTGGACTAACATGGTTGAAAAAATGTTTAAATTATTTCCCATACATGAAAAAATATATTATAACAGCCATTGGAAAAAGACAAGGGTTGTTGCGTCCTACCTCCAGATGTTACATATGGAGTACTTTCGGTAGCCACTCCAATTCCAATGATAATGCTTGCTGCCAGAAACCAAAAGTGCCAAGTCGAACTTCCCATGGCTGCACGTAAAAAATGTAATTTAAATTACTTTTAAGCCACTTATCCTGTTGCTGAAGGCTTACGAAGTAAATTATCGTCGTCAGCGTGGTACAGTGGACTAATCAACGCGTAGCTCTGCGGGGACGCGATACGGTCAGCGTGGTACACTGGACTAATCAACGCGTAGCTCTGCGGGGACGCGATACGGTCAGCGTGGTACAGTGGACTAATTCAACGTGTAACTCTGCGAGGAAGTGATGCGGAGTTGATTTTGTAATTCATTCATTTATCTCATCTGATCGTGTAACTAACGGGTGAAATTTTCAAGCCACGATTGGGATGGTGGATGACGCAGAAGAGAGGATGGCGTGGGTCGGGTGTCAGTAACCCGACGCATTTACTTTTATATATGGATCTTAATAAAAAATTGATTATCAGAGTTCGATGACATAAAACTGAAAGAAAAGTGTGTGTGGGCGAACTTCCAGGTCCCAATCTATCTCTCATTTCAGTCTTTCTTGACAAAGTTGCGTTGTCTTACAAACAATTCGCTCCATTTCCTGCAATTGGCTATCGTGTTCGCAGCGTTGCTACATGCACACTACCCAGGGGTCATGCTTGGGGGGGGGGGTGGGGGGTCGAAGGGGGTGAAGAAGACACGTCGGGGGGGGGGCAGAGTCGCCTTTAGATAGGATATTAATATTGAATTAAACGATAAAATCACAAGAACTTCACAACGGCACTGTTTTTGATATATTGAGGGGCGCCGTTTTCAGACTTTAACACGGCCCGGCCCCTATATTCTTGTCAGAACCCCCCACCCACCCCACCCCGCTTGTGTGTGTGTGTGGGTGTTTATGTTTGTTTATCTTCTTTGCATGCGCATGCGTGCTTTGACCAATAATAGAAAGGAAGTAGTTTATAACGCTTTATCACATACTCTCCACAACTTCCGTTGAGCTGTACTTTAATTCAAGAAGTTCCTAAACCAGGTGGGTGCTGGGGGTGCGGGCCACACCGCGTGACACCCTCACATAACAGTGTGCCACCAAATCAGGTGCAATCAGAACATGTTGTTATCATATCACAGTTCTACCAAAAGCACGTTGCTACCACCTCAGGGTGCCGCCAAAACCATGGGCCTCCAGAACTGGGTGCCATCAGCGCAGGTTGACACCAGAGCAGGGTGGCGCAAAAAATCATTTTCCACCAGAGCAGGGTGCAACCGGAGCAGGGTGCCACCGGAAACCCGTGCTACCGTTACCAAAAACTGGGTGTCATTAGTGCTGCTTTGGCAAAAACTATTTGATTGGGCCAATGCGTGCATTGATGACGCTTGGAGTCTCAGGATTCAAGGAAATAACAGACAGTTAGGCAGTGGCTGGTTTTTTTTTTCAAAATAATTATGCTATAATTTATAGTGAACATATTTAAAAAGGTTAATTAGTACAGTACAAACATTTAAACAAAATACTAAATTTCCAATATCTTCCTACTATAATATACCAATATAATAACGGAGACGCACACACGCTTAGTCTGCCCAAAAGTACTGAATCTAGCGAAAATGGCGTTGGAAGAGTCGGGCGGCCAGACTCGGGTCAAATTTTGTTTCTTTATACTGAAGCACGGCATTTGTATTATTATTTTATTTTACTTTTGGTTGGGGGGGGGCATAAAAATCGTAGCCCACACAAACAGTAATAACTCTAGCAACGCGACTGCTACTCTTGTTATTGTAAGTTTCATTTAATGTTTACTTTTGTTAGTTTTTAGGCTCTAGAATAATAATATATGTTTACATTTTTGATAAATCAAGCTATTTATATGACTTTATAGTCACTTGACCCCCCCCTCCCCTTTTTCCAATCTTGGTTGGCCTTTTGGGATTTAACAGTTACATCAATAACCTATTTCAGCTTGAGAGTGACATAAATCAATAGGGCACTTATTATTGAATGGCCCTGTACCGCAAGGTATGAAATAACTGTCCAGCTTGAACAGATTGAATTCCGAGTTGAAAGACCAAAGGTGAAACATTAAGAAGCAAGTCGATGTCTCTTTTGTCTTACACTTCATAAATGGTATTACATATAAAAAAATCAAAGTTCAGCAGTATATTCGGTTTGGTTGCATTGTCATTTTTCTTGCTATACAAGGGATATTCCCCCCCCCCCCCAGCCTTTATCATAAATAAATAAATTTACATATAAATTAAAATTAAAAACCTATAGACAAGTTGTTATCTATCTTGTCTTTCATGAACTTTGTGAAATAACCAACAAGGAGATCATTTGGCAAATTATTAATTTAACTTAATCATGTCGGACAGTTTAAATTTTGACTGCATTACAACTCAAAGGGAAAGCTAGTTGAAACTAGTTTGAATTTTCCCGTGATCATGGGTAGTTAGTTTGAATTAGTCCGTGGTCTTCCCCATCATTGGGTGAAGATGCTAGTGAAATAGAATCGCGAGCCCAGTAAAGCAGAGATTTTTGTGCAAAATTTTAATACCGAAATATAAATTTGGTTATTTAATACTGTAATTTATGTAAGCATTGAATAAATTTCGTTCTAATAACTATCCACCTAAACGTAGTCCTAAATAGTAATTTTAATTCATTTTCCCCCTTCTCATTAGTTGGATTCCCCATGAAATGTGGTGCAGTGTTACTAACTTGACCCTTAACAATTTTTGAACAAAAATTTAAAATCCTTAACAATTTTACGAAAACAACGTAATTTTAGACATAGATTTAATTGATTTTTTTTTTTTTTTAGTAAAGTATGAAAGTAAAAACAAATGAAATATGTCTCTCTCAAGTAGGCGTAGGAATTTCATATTATAAAATATAATGCTATGTCATGACAGATAAAATTACATATAATTAGCGTGATCTGATTGCATGGCACTCTCATCCGTGTTGACTCGGGCTAATGATCATTCAAGTTTAAACAAGCAAGAAGAAATCACAAACGCTGAGATTTCTAGTTTTCTCATTTTTTTTTCTTCAAAAATCAGACATCCTATGTTGTTTAATTTACTCACTTCTACGGACAAACCATCTTTGGTAATTTTTTATGGACTGTATGAAAATGTACGAATGTCTGGCAAACCAGATTATGTGGAATTTTCCAAAATATGTAGGCCCTATCCTATATTAACAATAAATTGTTAATGATTGCATCTAATTATATTCTAACTTAAATCATTATCACGATACACAATTTTTTAAAATAAATTTTTATTGAGTAGTGGTTTTGCTACGTTTTATTGAATTAAATTCCCACTCGAAATTGTATTTTGTCAAATAAAAAAAATCTTTTAAAGGCATTCACTGGATACAGGAAATCTCTTTTCATAATAGGAATATCTCAGTGGTTGGTAAACTCATTAGCCAAAAGAGACAAAAATCAGCAGCAGGACCATTTTAAAAAAATGTTGGGAGCCAAATCTCTTTTCAAGAACATGTCAAGAACCATGTTTTTTGGAGTCAAACCCGAATTGTGGCCGACTGACCGAGCCACACTCAGCGTCAGGTCACTAAAGAGCCGCATGCGGCTCGAGAGCCGCGATTCGCCGACCATTAGCCTATCCTATGCTCATAAGGCTCCATCACTATTTCACTAATCTTCCCGACAATGGCTAGACCAGAGGCGTCACTTTGAACTTCGCCCAAAATGACATGAAGTCATCTTTATGAAAGCCTAGTAATGGAGACATGTCTGATAATAGATTCATCGACCACAGATGTGGGCTAGGCCTGAGTCCGCTGGGCATGGGGGGGTAAAAACAAAAAGCCTAAAGTTATATTTAAAAAGCTAAGCAGAATTGTGAAATAAGTCTTAGCGTTTGAAATGAAGTTCAATCATAGGTATACGCATAGAAAAGAAAAAAAAAAAAAAAAAAAAAAAAACACCATCACTATCACCCTGGGTGGATGGGCTCGTTAACCCTGGATGGCAACTCATTTAATAGAAGTAGAAGGCAAACTCTGAAATCAAACCCGGAGATGGAGTAGGCCTACCGACATTGACACAATGAAAGAGCGCGTTGAAACACACGACAAACTGCTAGTCATTTACTACATTCTGGTCTATTTCCAGTGAGGTTGACAAATTGAGCTACTCTCCCTGATTTTAAATAAAATACAGCACAAGTCAAGGCTACTCAAGTCGAAAATTGCCTTTGTCATCTCAATAATTTATTATCTCTTTCAAAGCTTAAAATAGCTAAGGCTATCAAATAATGAGACGGCTACGTATGAATAAAAATTGTCAAGGGACCTCATTCTATGAGCATTTTTTTTAAACATAGATGTCACGTGATAGTCATATGGTGTCAATATTTCTTCACGGGGATGAGGTGATGGTAGATAAAGAAAAGTAAAAAAGTAACTAAGACAAGATGAGACCAGAAACCACAAAAGTTTTAACTTGCATTTTTTTATTCAAGGTGGTTTTCTTAACAGACAGAAGCTATGGAGCATATTTGCCTATAGTTGTGAATACCTGGCCTTTCGTCAATGCTACTTTTTCAGGTTGGATTAAAATTTTAAAATAGTTCATGTCATAGGAAATGAATCATGAAAATGGCTCGATGGGAATTAAATCTTTATTTTATTTATTACTAGCCAATATACCCGGCGTTGCACGGGAATGCATTAGGACCCCAATCCTGGTGTGACACCGATCCCATTGGAGCCCTAATCCCATTCTGACACCGAACCCGGCGCAGTCCCATTTCCCATTGTTATCACGACCCCGGTGGATCCATTCAAGGCTGAGATCCCGATCCCAGTGGATTCCCATTTTCTGGTGGGATCCTGATCCAGTTTGGATAAAGATTATGATGGGATCCCGACCCCTTTGTGATCCCGTATAAAAAAAAATTACTCAGTTTTACCGAGAGAATAGTAAACTCCGGGACAGTATAGAAATGAATAGAACTAACTAAAATTTCTTTAATCCCTTAGATCCCACTATATATCCCCTTGGAACAAAATTAGAAGTTTCTGGAACATTCTAGATTAAATTTAATAACCTGCTCGAAACAAGTGTAAAAACTACTTAACTAATTATTATTCAAATACGATAAAAATCTTAAACAAATGCCATAATTATAATCCTTTTTCTTTTAAGTTTATCGAGGGGCCCCCAAGGGGGGTGCATTTCATAACTGTATCAATTTTGTTATGCCTAAGACAAGGGGCCCTATAAAAATCAGTCAGATCAATAATAAAGTTAAAATTAAAAATTTGTCCCATTAAAATCTTCTTTAAAATACCATTGATATAGCTTTTTAAAATTATCGAACTTCCTGGAAAATTCTAGATTGGATATTCTTAGTTTTAAATCCACCGATATTTCAGTAGGGACTAAGAAGGTTATAGCTACAAAGCTAGACCTAGATCCCCCAATTCACATAGTACCTATTGTTTTGTCTAAGCCTATTGATATTTATGTAGCTTATATACATATATAAGGAAAAATGAAATTGGGCCCCCAGCCCCAGAGAGATGGATATTATGAGGTCAGTACCCTTGGGTATTTAAATATAGATGTATGTGTACTGTGTACTAAGTTTGGTCAAGATCCATGTATTCATGGAGAAGTTTTAAGCCTATTGATATTTATAGAGCTTATATAAGAAAAAATTAAATGGGGCCCAAGCGAGGTATGGACATTATGAGTTCAGCACCCTTCGGTATTTGAATATGGATAATCAAATGTATATGTTCTAAGTTTGGTCAAGATCCATCCATTCATATAGGAATATTGTTTAGTAATTTTATTTATATAGCTCATATATGGAAAAAAAACGATTCGGGGCCTCCGGTCCCAAACCGAATGTTATAAAAAGTTCATAACCCCTTATGAGTTCCTTCTGGATCATGATGGATATATGTGCCAAGTTTGGTCAAGATCCATCAATCCATGTAAAAGCCTTCGTGGAACAAACCCACAAACATCCCCACAAATTTCACTTTTATTAATGTATATGATTTTAAAATTAATAAGTTTAGTAAACTTTAGGTCTAACCCCATTGTCATTAATTAGGGCTTACATTTAAACTTTAAGTTATAATAGTGATAGTAGATGACTAAGTGGTACTAGGAGGAGGCTTTTAGATACTGGCACTGGTAATAGTAAATTAAGTAATTAGTAATTTGAGTCAAGTGTAAGTGAGTAAGCCTATTCAGTATTCATTCAGACAGCTAATAAATAATGCTTGGTTTAAGTTGGATTGGATAGGCCTTTATTGAAAATAAAAGCCTCCTTTGAAACTCTTGCATTTTAGACTAAATTGTGTACAGAATTTTTGCTTTGCAGCATTCTACAGACCAGACACACCTGTAATAAATTTCATAAACCCATTGCAATGTGATTTCCAAATAAAACTATATAATAATTATACAATATACAGTAATATATATTATTATATAAACATGACACAGAACGCCCAATGAAACTGAAAGTAGCGAAAAAAATTCAAGCATTGAAATTATAACTACATTTTCATAATTGTATATATAGCTTGGGAAGCATTGCTCAGTGGAGTAAGTGCAGAAGACAGTCTTGTCATTGGTTGTACAACATGTGAGAAGCTCCAATGTGATGGAAGTGTTGGATTTGGAAGCAATCCTGATGAGTCTGGAGAGACCACTCTCGATGCAATGATAATGGATGGGTAAACAATTTATTAATTTAATGAGTATTATCCTTTTTATTTTCCTAAGCCGCTTAAGGATTTACTTTTATTAAAAGTATTTTAATGTTTTCTATTTCGTGATAACAAAATTAGCTTAGAGCCTTGTTGATGATAAATCTCTCATGTTCTTGGGACCTTCTGCCATGGCCGGTCCCAAGCCCAGATGCAAAAGGATGAGGGTTGGCGTGAGGACAGCTACCTCACCCGTAAAAAACAAACTGCTACAGAAACATCAACAAGAAGAAAAAACCAAACATTTCAGCCCTGAAAAAAGAGGGCTTTTCTTCCGCAAGAAGAGTTATGAAGCCTTGCAGCCAAAGCCAGGTTATACTGGTAGCCTCAAAGAAGAGGAACTTCCTTTCAAAGGCAATAAACATAAGCTTATGGATTTTTAGGACTATGTATGAAACAGGAAAATCAGCACAAGTGGTGGCAGAAATGAGAACATACAAACTCACACTGCTTGGCATCTGTGAAACAAGATGGACAAAAGCTGGACAGTTAACTTCGGCCTCAGGAGAAATACTAATATACTCAAGGCATGAGGATGAAAATGGTCCACAAACACAAGGAGTCGCGCTCATGATTACATGGATGGCACAAGATGCAGTGATGTGATGGGAAGCCCATGGCACAAGAATTATTACAGCAACTTTCAGAACCAAAAAAGAAAATAAATTTGAATTGTAACACAGTGCTGTGCACCCACCAACGATAGCAAGGAAGATGAAAAAGAAGCTTTCTACAATAGACTACAAGCAGTTCTGGAGAAATTTACAGGTATAAATCTAAATATCTTACTGGGAGATCTAAATGCTAAGATTGTAAAGAAAACAGTGGAAACAAAGAAATTATGGCGCGCCATGGTATAGGAGAAAGGAATGAGAACGGTGAAAGACTGGCAGGCTTCTGTGTGGCTAATGAGCTTGTTATTGGGGAAGTGATTTTCAGCATAAAATTGAGAATATCCACAAAGTAACTTGGTTGTCCTCCAACAACAAGACACAAAACCAAACCGATCATACATGTATTACAAAAAATTTAGAAGGTCTCAGCAAGATGTACGAGCAAAAAGAGGAGATGATGTCACATCAGATCACCATCTTGTTTATGTAAGACTCAAGCAAAGACTGAAGAAAAACTGGGAAGAGCCAGCTGCTAGAAGACTAAAATACAACATAGCACTTCTGGCAACTGAGCAGAAACAAGAGGAAATCAGTGCTACCTTGAGAAATAAGTTCCAGGCACTGGAAGACCAAACAGAAGATGACCAGATAGAACATAAATGGGAAAATATAAAGATGTCAGTAACATCCAAATGCAAAGAGGTATATAAAGACCAGTGAATCAAAAACAACAGGGCTGAGAAAACGAAAGCAAAAGTGAAATATAAAGAAGCAAATTGAAGGGTAAAAAACAGAATAAAAAAAGATACAAGTTCTTACATAGATGGTCTAGTGTCAACAGCAGAAGAAATAGCCAGAAAGTGAAACCTGAAAGAGCTCAATGACATAACTAAAAAGCTCTCAGGAAGATACAAGAGGCCATAGTGAACTGTTAAAGATAAGGAAGGTGGATCAATATAAATGAATAAAAAGAACAAAAAATATGGGTGGAATACTTTTAGGTATTACTAAAAAGACCTCCACCCACAGACACACCAGACATACAACCAGCAAATGAAGACTTAGAAATAGAAGAAAGTGTCCCAAATAAGGAAGAAATAGCGCTGGCTATCAAACAACTCATAACAGGGCAAGCATATGGACCAGATACCATCAGAACTAAGATGATGAGAGCAGATATAGATACAATAGTCAACATGTTACCCCGTCTGTTTGAAAGGATATGGGAAGAAGAAAGAGTTCCAAAAGATTGGAAAGAATAATACCTTGTCAAGATACCAAAGAAAGGGGATCTCAGCAACTGCGCAAACTTCAAAGGAATTACACTGCTGTCTGTACCTGGAAAGATCTTTGACAGAATTATTTTGAACAGAATGAAGGACCAGGTTGATGGGCTTCTTTGCGCCAAAACAGATCATGCACAGATCAATTGCAATACTACAAATCAATGTAGATGGGGTACCAGGAAAACTAGACAGGATCATTCAGAGTTCTTATGAAGAAGTGACATACACAGGGTGGTACATGAAGGTAGACTCATAGATGCCTTTAAAGTAGAAACAGGAGTCACACAATGATGTCTCTTTTCCCCATTCCTATTCATCCTTGCCATTGACTGGATAATGACAAAATATACAGACAAAAAAGAGGAACAGGATACAGTAGAAACCCTGGGAACAACTGAATGACCTAGACTTTGCAGATGACATTGCAATTCTGTCCCACAATCAGGAACAAATGCAAGAAAGACTAACCACCTTTTCAGCACAGCTCGGACTCAATATAAATAAAAGCAAGACAAAGATCATGAAGGTAAGCTCAGCCAACTAAGACCATATTTTTCTGGCAGGAAATGCACTTGAAGAAATGGAGAACTTCATATATTTAAGCAGCACCCTTGACATAAATGGTGGATCCAAAGCAGATAAACACTTGCCTTAGAAAGATCCTGTTTATCAAATGGCCAAACACCATCCCCAACAAAGACTCACTGGAAAGAACATACCAGGAACCTATTGCTGAAGGCATCATAAGGAAAAGATGGAGATGGATAGGGCAGACTCTCCACAAACCCCCAAATAACATCACCAGACAATCAATGAGAAGAAAACCGAAGAATACATGGAGACACGAGCTAGAGGCAGACACTCAAAGCATGGGATATACCAGGAAGCAAGAGGAAAGGAAAGCACAGGACTGAGATGAATGGAACATTTCTTGTGGACAACCTGTAAGATTACCTAGAACCCACTCTGACCTTGCTGTTAGGTGGTTATAGCTCTATTTTGTCTAGGGTAAGGTTCTGGCACTTGTCTAGTTCCACTAGACTATCGAAAACTTGTTATCACAACTCTTACTAAAGGCAACAAATTACTCTTAATGATGATAACCCTTCTTCTTTAATCACAAGATCTGCTAACACTGCAACTAGGCATTATTATTTCACAACAGTCACTCTCTCTGAATGCAGTAACAGCTTTGATCATCTAAAATTCTGGAACCCTAACAAACACTACTAATGAATTACAAGAACTGACGAGCACTATGAAAACTAACTAATCTTTTCATGGTCACACTATATCCTTCTCACATTTTTATCACCATTCACCATATCACATTTAGATCTCAGAATTCTTTTGAAAAGCACAACTAATGATCAAAACAAAGTTCGCCCTAGATCTAGAATTCTAGCACCTTGACAATTAATATTAATCTTTTTCTTTAGAATTTACCTTCTATTTTTAGCTTTCCTTCAATTAATACAATTTAAATTTGTAGGTACCAGTGTGATATTTATTTGAATATTTTCAGTGCAACTTATGCTGTGGGTGCAGTTGGAGACCTGAGAAGAGTTAAAAATGCCATTGGAGTTGCCCAAGCTGTAATGCACTATACTGATCATACACTCTTGGCGGGCGAGTCAGGTGAGTTTAATATAAAAAAAAAATTGGTTCAGACAATTAAAACAAATAATATTTTGAAATGTTCTTTCAAGGTTTTAATTAGGTCTGTTTGGCTCACTAATACCTAGGTAAGTTAATTAGTTTTACAAAAAATAAATTTATAAGATTCACATGTTCAGTGGAGTAGGTTTTCAAAACGAAGAAGAACAATTTAATTATTGTTTGAAGTTCTTCAGAGAAATCCATTTGTTTAACACCCAAGTGGGGCTGAGTTAAAATAAGAGGATAAAGAGTAAATTAATATATCATCAAAATGTAACTTTCTCCATGTGTAACTTTTTTTACATAGCAACAAAATTTGCAATAGAGATGGGATTTAAAGAAGAGTCACTTGCTACCAATAACTCACAAAACATGTATGCCTCATGGCGCAAAAACAAATGTCAGCCAAATTTTAGACAGGTCAGTAATTTATGTCTTAATTTTGTTTTTAATAAGCAAAAAACACAAGACAGATCAAAATGTTATTATATGTTTTACCTTTATTGTTGTAAAAAAGGTATTTATGTCTCTTTTTTTTTTAGTGATATATTATATCTTTTGATTATTTAATGGTGAACAGTTGTCAAATTATGATATCAGCTGAAAGTCTCTTTTAATTCTTGGTCTACATTATTAAACTGAAAAATAAAATAATTGTAAATTTCACATACAATTTGGCTGAATGGAGTAAGCTCATAAGATGCAGAAATCAAATAAGAAATAATAATTTAGAAATATTCATATATATACATGGCTCATTAATACCTAGGCAAGTTAAATATATATAGATAGATACACAAATAAATAATAGAGTAATATTGTTTCAAAATTTATTAATAATTATAATTATTGTGCTTTATATTAATTCCAGAATGTACAACCTGATCCAAAGGCAAACTGTGGTCCTTACTCACCTCTTCCTCCTCCATCATTCAAAGGGACTTGGTTGAATAGCTTCAGCAAACAGTATCATTACTCTAGGAAACCCCACAAAGACATTAAGCGAAATAATCATGACACAATAGGGATGGTTATCATTGACACCAGTGGGCATGTGTGGGCAGGAACGTCAACAAATGGAGCCAATCACAAAGTTCCTGGGTAGGTCTTCTTTCTGATAGTCTCTGAATTTAATCAGAAAATTAAGTCATATTTACACTTTTTACTTTTTAAAGTTTTTTAATGTATAGAGTAGTTTTAAAAATGTATTTTTAATTTTTTTTTAAATAAATGAATTCTTTTCAGGCGTATTGGTGACTCCCCTGTCATGGGCGCTGGAGCTTATGCCAGCAACAGGGGTGGGGGAGCAGCTGGGACAGGTGATGGAGATGTGATGATGAGATTTTTGCCCAGGTAAGGCACGGATGAATAAGTTGTGAAAAATTTAATTACGTTATGTAATGGCACATAACCAAAAGTTTTTTATTTTTTGCAATAATTTTATTCTTAAATTTAAGGAAACTACTGTTACATTAAATTAGTTTATTAGAAAAATTATGAGCAAGGAGTTTTGGACTGGAGTGGCCAAGCTGCCCAGTACAAAGATATTTTATTTGAGGTGGGTTATTTCTTTTCAGACGCCGTCATGGATAATCTTACAATGAGACAGTCATGAAACTAACGATAATTTAAAAATCTAATTTACAATTAGACAAAATATTAAGAATAGATTTAAAGTTATGATTCGATTTGCCACAAAACAGAGCAAATATAAGTGATTGAAATGTTGTTTTGTGATCTTGTAGAAGAGATAATGTATGTGGTCAAGTGGATCGGGCAAATGGTTAAATGGATCAGGTAAATGGTCAAATGGAGCGAGAGCTTCCATTTTTAGATTGGGGGGGGGGGGTTTACTTCAGCTTAATTAAAAAAAAATTTGTTTGGTTTGTTAAAAGAGATTTTAAAATTAGATTATTGTATGAGTCAATTGTTACAAATGTAATATTGTCTTGAAGTTGACCAACATATAAATATTCTCATTTATTATTGTGTAGTATTTTAATAATACATTATGTGTTTTAAAATGGCTCATTAAAAAAAAAACAGTACATAACAAAGGGACCATTGATTAAATATGAGAAAGAATGATAACCCAACTAGTGTTAATTTCAAGTAAAAATTTATTGATATTAACAATGCTGGTATAAAAGTACAAAATCAAATATATAGAAATAAAAACCCTATAAACTTACAGCATGTATAATAATAGAAAGCTAAAATATTCATTTACACACCCAGTGAAAATCTTGTAGGTCTTGAGTGTCTTGTGGCTCAACCAGCTGACCATCATGTGTATAGTCTAGGGGGAGAGGTTTCCAGAATTGAAACTCTAGCTAGAAGGTCAAGCGAGTTTTCTCTATATTGACCTGTCTAGTAAAATGTAGAGAAGCAGTGATTGGATGATGACTCGCCAAAACAAGGACAAGTTAATTGGTGTTGACAGTTACAAAAACATAAGGGGAGATAATTCCACAGCCTACTTGAAATAAAAACTCCGCTGTGAACCAAAAATAGGGTAAAAAAGTCTACAACTCAGGGGTATAATAATATAATTTATAAAATGGTGCTTTACTCAAATCAGGTTGCTGACCCCTAACTTAAAGAATCGATTTCAACCATATATCAGTCGCTCATTAACTTATCTGTGACATTTATAATTATTGAGGAAAGTGGAGATTTAATGTGCAAGTATTATTGTAACACAGAAACAGTTCTGGTAGCCCATATATCACTAGCAGAAATCCCAATGTTTGCAAGTAATCATAAATGCAATTATTTCACAGCTTCCGAGCAGTTATTGAAATGGAAAGAGGTCTGTCCCCTAATGAAGCTGCCAAGGTTGCCATGGTACCCATTATCGAAGCTTACCCAAGCTTCAGTGGAGCTTTAGTAGCTGTCAACTTAACAGGCCAGCATGGTGAGATTACTAACAAGGATTTTTTTTAAAGTTTACAATTTTTAAATTAAATGGCTTAATGCTAAAGACTTTGATTCACACAAATAAACACATGCATTGCATCTAAATCAATTTTTCTTTGACATTTCAGGGGCTTATTGTCATGGCTTCCAGTCATTTCCATACAGTGTAGCATCCCCTGAACATAGCACAGTACAAGTTGTAAATGTCAAATGTTCATAGCAGGAAATATTAGATAAACTATCTCAAGTTTTCTTTTATATTAAGAATGGAAGTTTTCTTCTTGTTTTTTGTAAATACATTTTTTAATTGTCTTTCACTTTTCTAAAAATAAATCTTCTATAATGAATGAAAAATATATTATATCATGTATAACTGCAAGCCTGGTAAAAAAAAAAAACTTGTAATTTATAGTAATCTTTTTAATTTTAAGTGTATTAATTTATTTAAATTAAAAAAATGTGACCACTTAAAATATAGGATAGAAAATGTAGTTAATATGCACTTATTAAAAATGTTATTTATTATATAGAATTATGTATTAAGTGTTACCTTGACTTTCGAACCGCTCTACATTTGAACTTTTCAAGAAACAAACTTTGTACACAGCCCATTTAGACCTCTCCATACAAACCTAGATTAGAGATATGAACTGTGATGCACCATGATGTTGCCCTCAAGCTGTACCCGTGGTGTTTGTTTTCACATCACATTTATCTGAAATATGACACGACGAGGGAATTGTGCATGCATGCTGCCTGTAAATATTTTCTTTTTTTGTCTATCTATTTGGGTATTTGTGTAATCAAACAATACAAGTTTTTTTAGGTTTGTTTTGAATGTGTCTACTTTATGTATGTATTTCTTTCTGGACAAATGGGTCTGTGCGCATGTGGAGAGGTACATCAGGCAACACTGCTTAAGTATGGCGGACTGTGTAGATATCAGACTCTTCACTTCTTACGCAGATAGATCTAAGAACATATTGTAATCAGTACTAGTGTGATTAGAATAATTACTAAATTGTCACAGGCTCTGCCGCATGTTATTCACATCACCAATTTAATTGAAGGTAATAGTCATACTACATGCACGTGTATCATGCAAAACCAAAAATTTGATAAATAAAAATTTGTAATGGTATACAATATGTATATTTATTGTCTGCAATGCTCTTTCTCACTCCTGATCGATTTCTTTACATTTTCTTAATTTAGGTGAAAGTAGTTCTTTTTTATTACTTGATTTTTTAGCTATTTTAATCTGAGAATGGATTAATTATTTCCCATAAGATGTAATGGAAAATTGGGTTCCGGGATACAAACTCAGTCATGAACAAATTAAGTTCATAAGTCGAGGTACCACTGTATATTTTTATTATTATTTGTTCATATATAAAATTGGATTAAAAACAAAAAGCATTCCTCTGTTGAATCTAATATTAGTGGTGTTGTTTCTTTTTCCTTTGTTATCATCTGAATTATTTTTTATTAAAAAAAGCATCTAGTGCTTGTCATGTGCATGAATAAAACCTTTAAAAACTCTGGATGATGTACTGTATTAAATGCTTGTCCCTCGAGATGCCAAACCTGTCTGTTATAGATAACTCTTATAGATAACTCTTTTGCAAAAGTAAACTTGCTTCATTAACAATTACCTTATCAATAAGTTATGTCTATCAATATAAGTTATAAGTCTATCAATAAGCTTTAAGTCTATCAATATATATGAGTAACAAGTCTATCAATATATAAGAAAGAAGTTTATCAATAAGTTGTAAGTATATCAACAAGTTACAAGTCACATCATGGATTTCAACTTATCATCATGGCTCTGTATCAAACATAAATGCAAGGTTTAAAATTTCATTTATGATTTCTTAAAGAAAGAACAGGGAGTGGGTATCAATGGTAACATTGGTACTGGGATTTTACACTGAAAACATGATTCAACATACAACCAGGCTCCTTTGACAAAAGTCTTTAAACAGCACCTTAATAATGAACTGAACTATAAAATCCCAAAGGAGCCTTAAAGTAGCCCTTTAACTACTCTGCCAGGGCGGCACTTCTTCAATACATTAATGGGGGTCATTTTCATCCTTCGGCTCGGACACCTCTTTTCCTTGGCACAGCCCTCGACACTGCACAATGATATTGATCATTAAAGAAAAAAAATTCAATTATATAATTTTTTTGCTGATCAGTAGTGTTGAAATTGTATGTTTCATTTTCAGAAATTAATATGGTATTTCCCTACATTTCCCCAAATTTTAAGTATGTCTGTGATGATAGCTTTACAAATCAACATTTCAATGAATGTCTGTTGCAGGCCAGGAGTACAGTTTCTGTAAGTTGAAGCTCATCAAATCCTATTTCACTAAACCATGGTGCAGGATATGCTTTGAGGATTTTCAATGAATGATCCATCAAACATAAACTGAGTGCTGAGCTAGATTACACTTAATTGATAGAAGGATGGCATTCGCAAAGTGCACTGTGTTCAGCTTTGAGTTATCCATAAAAAATGCTTTAACTATATATTTATTTGTTTGAAAATTCAAGTAACATTTAAAACTAGTCTAAAAAAAATAAACCATCAACTTTTAATAAAGGCATTAAAGGGGGTCCAAAACCCCAGGGGGGGGGGGGGGGGGGGGGGGGGAGCTCTAATAAAAGTCATGCGTTGGCTCTGGTCGTGAGTTGTGACTGACAGGTTGAGAACAATCGCCCTAACTCTAACCCTTAAAATTACCAAACATGGAGTGGAGCTAGGATATAAATTACTACCATATGTATTTCTTAGCCATCCTTCCGTTCAGCCAGCCAATGGCTTCACTCATTAAATGGTGTTAAATTACATTACCATGGTTACCGGACATAATTTATATGATCAGCGGATGTTTGAATGGAAATTTATTTAACAAAATTAATTAACAAGTTTACGCTCAATATCTTCTTAATTGCCCCTTCCCTTAAAAAACAAATGTGTTCAATTTCATTTGAATAATTTTAATATAAAAAATATTTTAAAATTATTTTTTTAAATTTCTGGGTATTTTGAGCAATATGACAGACTTAAAAATAATGTACACACAAGAAATGACTACTTAGTATCATCAGTCAGTCAGCATGTGAAATGAAATATTAATTGTATTGCACTAGCCATTTTAAGCGTTGAATAAAGTACTGATATGATATCGCAAAATTATATTTCAAGGTTTATCCCCCTTTTTAACACGCCAAAACTTGTAGTTAAAGTCAAAGGGAGGCTATGCTTTATTTATCTAGTAATTTTTAAGACATCAACTACTCTGTACCGTCTGAAAGTGCGCGACTGTGCAGCAGAGTATTTTTTTTTTTTTATTTGTGGGCATTTACACTATTTTATGGTGTTATTTGTAAGGAAAAGTATTTCTTCGACGTCTGTTTAACTTAAAGTATGTTAATACCAAAAGATGGATGATGCTTTAGAACAATCTTCGCTAAAAATTGATACTGGCTGTAGTCCTATTAGCCCGTTTAAGAGCTTAGCGTCCTCGGTAACGGGGTCATCTAACTGCAATGGCGGCTCAGTTTTGGAGATTCAAAGCAGCGACTCCAAGTCAGACTATGTTCAAAGTATTGACGAGAAAGCATTGTCTGTAGCAGATAATTCGAAAAAATCATCATCAATTGACTTTGCTGAACAAATCCGAAAACTTGAAATAGAAGGAAATAAATTACGTGCCGTAACTGCATGTAGTTTAGGTAGGCCAAACTACCACTGACCGGTTAACTGTAAATTGTATTAAATTTAAATATTAATAAATGTATTACATTTGTAGTGTGTGTAGTGTAGTATAGTCATTAGTCATAGAGTAAGTTATAGAAATAGTCTCATCTCCGAACTCTACTCACCTACTGTTACTCTTTGAGTCTAGTAATTCATAAATAATCCTAATTATAACTATAATAAATTAAAATTAATACAATTATAATATAAACAAATGAATGTGAATAGTGAAAATACTGAAAACATTCAGGGTAGAGGGTAGCATGGGGATATTATTTTGTAATGTATTTATTTCTATTCAGCTCTCATTACCTCCAAAATTTTCATTTCCTCCCATGCCCATTTGAGGTAATTTACCCCGGTTTGCCAACCTCTGCAGGAATGGATCATAGTGCAAGTATACTTACTTACTTGTGCCGTTCACCCTTTTGGGGCATAGGCTGTCTACAAGAATTTTTCATTCATCTCATTCCTGTGCTTTCCTTTCCAGTTGCTTCCAGGTCAGGTGTATACCAGGTGTTTCTCCCTCTAGCTTGTGTCTCCATGTATTCTTTGGTCTCCCTCTCTTTCTTTTTCCCTGTGGATTCCATTTTGGGTGTGTCTGGTGAAGTTATCTGGTGGGTTTTGAGAGTGTGCCCTATCAACCTCCATCTTTTCCTTATGATCCCTTCATTAATAGGCTCTTGGTATGACCATTCCAATAAGTCTTTGTTGTTGATCATGTTTTGCCATTTGATGCTAAGGCATGTGTTTATGAAGGACTGTACTTTATGCATAATGCTCGCTGTTGTCCTCCAAGTTTCGGCTCCATAGAGTAGGACTGTTTTGACATTTGTGTTGAAAATTCTGACTTTGTTTTGCAGACTCAACTCCTTTGACTCCCATATTTTCTTTAATAGCTCAAGGGCTGACATAGCCTTCTAAATCTAGCCCTGATATCTGCTTTGGATCCACTATTTATGTCAATAGTGCTGCTTAAATATATGAAATCCTCCATTTCTTCAAGTGCATTTCCTGTCAGGGAGATGTGGTCTTTCCCTGTTATGAGCTGTTTGATAGCCAGGGCTATTTCTTCCTTATTTGGGACACTTTCTTCTATTTCTAAGTCTTCATTTGCTGGTTGTATGTCTGGTGTGTCTGTGGGTGGAGGTCTTTTTAGTAATACCTAAAAGTATTCCACCCATATTTTTTGTTCTTTTTATTCATTTATATTGATCCACCTTCCTTATCTTTAACAGTTCACTATGGCCTCTTGTATCTTCCTGAGAGCTTTTTTGTTATTTCATAGAGCTCTTTCTTGTTTTACTTTCTGGTCCTTCTTCTGTTGTTGGAGCTAGATCATAAATGTAAGAACTTGTATCTTTTTTTATTGTTTTTTGCCCTTTGGTTAGCTTCTTTATATTTCACTTTTGCTTCCGTTTTCTCAGCCCTGTTGTTTTTGATTCACTGGTCTTTATACCTCTTTGCATTTGGATTTTACTGACATCTTTATATTTTGCCATTTATGTTTTATCTGGTCATCTTCTGTTTGGACTTCCAGTGCCTGGAACTTATTTCTCAAGGTAGCACTGAATTCCTGTTGTTTCTGCTCATTTGCCAAAAGGGCTATATTGTATTTTCGTCTTCTAGCAGATGGCTCTTCTCAGTTTTTCTGCAGTTTTAAATTGAGTCTTGCGCAAACAAGATGGTGATCTGATGTGACATCAGCTCCTTTTTTTTCTCGTACATCTTGCTGAGACCTTCTAAATTTTTTTAATACATGTATGATCGATTTGGTTTGGTGTTTAGTTGTCAGGGGACACCCAAGTTACCTTGTGGATATTCTTATTCACTTCCCCAATAACAAGCTCATTAGCCACACAGAAGTCTGCCAGTCTTTCACCGTTCTCATTCCTCTCTCCTATACCATGACACCCTATAATTTCTTTGTATCCACTGTTTTCTTTACCAATATTAGCATTTAGATCTCACAGTAAGATATTTAGATTTATACCTGTACATTTTTCCAGTACTGCTTGTAGTCTATTTTAGAAAGCCCTTTTTCATCTTCCTTGCTATCGTTGGTGGGTGCACAGCACTGTGTTACAATTCAAATTTATTTTCTTTTTTGGTTCTGAAAGTTGCTGTAATAATTCCTGTACCATGAGCGTCCCATCATATCAGTGCCTCTTGTGCCAACCATGTAATCATGAGAGCAACTCCTTGTGACTGTGGACCATTTTCATCCTCATGCCCTGAGTATATTAGTGTTTCTCCTGAGGCCAAAGTTAACTGTCCAGCTTGTGTCCATCTTTTTTCACAGATGTCAGTTTGTATGTTCTCATTTCGTCCGCCACTTCTGCTGATTTCCCTGTTTCATGCCTTGTTCTAACATTCCATGAGCCTATGTTTATTGCCTTTGAAAGCAGGATCCTTGGCTTTGAGGCTTCCAGTATAATCTGGCTTTGACCGCAAGGCTTCATAACTCCTCTTGGGGAAGACAAGCCCTCTCTTATCAAGGCTGAAATCGTTTGTTTTTTATTCTTGTTAACGTTTCTGTAGCAGTTTGTACGGATGCGGTAGCTGTGGCCTCACGCCAACCCTACTCCTTTTGCACCCAGGCTTGGCACAGGCCATAGCAGAGTTAGTCCAAGTAAAAGAAAGACAATATCACATTTAAGACGAGAGCGTTTCTGTCTTGTTTATCAGTTCATGCTATTTTAAGACTTTCAATTTAAAATTATTTTTCTTTAGGCACTTTTAATGGTTTTGGAATGGACCTACACAGCAGTTTTGAGGTAATAATCTTGTCTGTTTTGTGTTTCCTCATACATATGACTTCAGAATTATTTAAGTCACATCATACATTAAATGAGTAACAAATGATTGTTTAAAACTACCCTTCACTGAGTTGGGTTAGTCCTATCTGTTATTCAAGTAAGTTGATTACTATTGTTACCACCTCAGCAACTGCAAATGGATTTATTCATCCAAGTGTTCACACCCATTGTATTATTTTTAAAAATATACATTTTTAAGAATAGAAAACAAATTAGATTTACAAAAACCTTGATCTTTTAACAATTAAATAGATCTAAACTAATTATTCATGGTAATTATGAAACAAAATGATGGATAATTATAATATTGATTTATTCGATTAGATAAGAGAGTTCTTCAATCTCTTGTTTTTCTTTCAGTTTCCTAAACTCCCATCATCCAGTTTTGGTAACTTAGCTGCCCTTGTTGACATCTCTTCAGATCAAAAGTGTATCTCAGATCTCAGGTCTTTCTAACTTTTGTTTTCTTTTCTTGAAGAAAGTTTATCTAAGCGTTATTATTTTGTATTTACTTTTTTGTGCCACTCATTACATTTTTAAAAAAAAAGAATGTTTTGTTAAACAAAAATTCTGTCAAACCAGCAGGATCCAGCTTGAAAGTCAGCAACGAGAGACAGACCGCTTGAAGAAACAACTGTCTGGAGATATGTCAGGGTTACGAGCTCCATCAAACTCCTCAAATGGTGCAGCTAACAGCAGCTTTAATGGTGATAACATTTTTCATTCATTGCAAAACTCAGGGAGATATGCATTTTCTACCATTCCAAGCAGCCAATGGAATCAGACTTTTGGGAAAAAGACATTTGATTATCAGCCTCCGTAAGTTTTCAGTAATTAATTATTCCATTGCCTGTTAATCCAGTGACAGGAATAATGAAGTAGTACTTGTTTAACAGATTAAGATTTTCAAGCAATATCTTAATTATTTTTAATGATAAAATATAAATATTTTTATAAAGCAATTTGATATTGCATATTGCAAAGTTTTTTCTGTATTTCATTTCATGGTGATATGAAAATCAGTTGCATCATGAATGAATTTTCCAAAATATAACCTTTTTACATCAGATCCCATCTTGAGCGTTCACTAAAGGAATCTCAGGAACAAGTTATGGAGTTGAGAAAAAAGTTGCAAGAGGTATGGATAAAATTAGTGATTGGAAAAATTGTCTCACTCACGATGCGGTTGGGGATAATGTCATAAAATGCAAGTGACTGACACAGGAACAGCTTGACACATTGTGTTTCTAATTTCAGCTGACAGAATCATCAGACCATCAGAAAAGACATTTCCGTGCCACTGTAGAAGACTTGAAATCTAAACTTCATGACACAATACTCAACAGAGATACCGTCTTGGATCTCAGGTAACTAATCAATCATGTCAATGCCAACACGCCAGGATTGATGTTGCTCAGACATCTTAGAAAATGTTGGAAAATTCAAACTCTATGCTTATTATATGCTTTTATAAAAAAATGTACCTAGAAATGTTTTAGCTGATATTGCTACAAAACTTGACGTACTGTGTCCAGATCTAGGTCAACATGAGGTGTTTTATCCTCTTGTGGAGTTAAGAGTTAGGATTATGAAAATATACATGTAAACATTATTTATTGACATTAATGTGTTCAGTGTCCTCTTTCTGCTGTGGTTTCTCGTGCAAATGTCATGCTTTAAGCTAGAGAATAAGTTATTAATTTTGCAATTCAAATAATTTTTCTCTCTCTGTTTATTTAAAAAATGATTACAATTGGTTAAGTTGAGTGGAAATGTGTGTATAATTAATTGGTCTTTCAATGCAAACTGATGTCGTGTTTATTTTTATTAATGACAATCTCAGTTTCAAATGTCATCTGCGTTACAGACAAAAAGAATCCAGCAGTCAAGAAATACTCATCAGCAAACTTCATTCAGCACTGAACCAACTCCAAGAACAGTGCAAGTCACAAGAGGAGGTGAAAGTCATGACTTAAAATTTGTAGCTAACACCTTCTAAATCAGTGATTCTCAGCCTCTCAAACTAATCTTACCTAGTTTAGGAAAACAGTAGACTTTGCTCTTCTAACCACCCACCTTTCCCACCCACCCACCTTTTTGCCTGCCCACCCACCCACCCACCTTTCCCTTACTCAATCATGGGTGGCTCATCGCATTATCTAAAAGCTGAAGATGAATGTGTACAATCAATCAATACACATTTCCATTTATTTGAATCAATAATCTTATGTTTCAAGACAGTTGCAGGAGGAAAGAGCAACGCATCTGATTTGTTTCCAAGAGGCAACGCCACCTCATGTGCCCACGGCTGGGCACCACAGATGCCTAGACAGTTCTGTTGACTTGCTAATGGCTTGAATGATTCATTAAAAACTTTTTCTACAACCCTCCGATCCGGCAGTGCAGGTGGTCAGCCTCTTCCCTCCTGTCCAGCGGTGCAGGTGGTCAGCCTCTTCCCTCCTGGCCAGTGGTGCAGGTGGTCAGGCTCTTCACTCCTGGCCAGAGGTGCAGGTGGTCAGCCTCTTCCCTCCTGGCCAGCGGTGCAGGTGGTCACCCTCTTTAAGAGATCTTGTCATGAAAGAAAAGGGACTGAGGAACATTCTCCTTCAAGGATTGTGTCTTTTAAATCATCAGGCTAGTGTGAAGACTAGACTAGGAGAAAGCCATATCACATGGGGAAGTGTGAAGACTAGACTTTGAGAAAGCCATATCACATGGAGAAGTGTGAAGACTAGACTAGGAAAAAGCCATATCCAATAAATTACAACACTATGTTTGATATTTATTTTAAAATATGATTTGATTGTTGTTGTTTGATCTTCGTATGCGAAGATGACAAGACTTAGTTTTACAGTAGAACGCATTGGGTTTGACAGTCCTATTTATGCTTGGAAAGCTTTCTTGCACATAGGACACTCATTGTTGTGGGTCTTAGTTGGTTTTGACTGAATTCTGCTTTTTCTTGCCATGCGCTTTCTTTAGGCATGAGCGGTGCACTTATTCACTGAGGATTTCTCTCTGACAGTGACCCTGCCATGCCAGTTTGCATGGTCCATGGCAAGTGTCTCCCACAAATCAAGGTCAATGTCCTTTGATTAAAGTGAAGCTTTAAGACAGTCCTTGAAGCATTATTTCTGCCCACCAACAGAATGTTTCACACTGGAGAGTTCACCAAACATTATTCGTTTGGGAAGTCTGCTGTCTGGTATTCTTACAACATTCCCTGCCCATCTGACTTGTTCTTTTTGTAGGAGAGTGTGAATGCTGATCCAATTGGCACATTTTGTAGGACCTCTGATTTGATTTGACCTTAACTTAACTCTTGTGGAAATGATAGTATGATTTATCTAAAATATGAATTTATGAATGGGCTAAGAACTAAATTTATGACCCATTTAACATTAAAATTTATTCCCTACCACATTTGAATTTATGATGAACCTAAAATTTCTATTTATTTTTTTAGTCTCTCTATTCAGCCAGCCAAAAGTTAGATTCTCACAAACACAACAGCTCTATGTACGAAACAGCCCTGTCCCAGGTCAGGAGTATTCTTATTGAGCGTGAAAAGCGCAAAGGCCTGGCCTTCTTTCAGTCTGATCTGACCAATGGTCAGAATGTTGCTGTAGTGGTGCACACCCTGGAAAGAATGTTGCAAGATCTGGAACATGAAGTCAACATGAAATCCATCAGAGTGTCAGAGGTCAGTGTCTGAGGGAGGGTTTGTGGGTTTCTGAGGAAGGGTTTGTGTGTTTTAGAGGAAGGGTTAAGAGTCGTTCATAAAGGTTGTCTAAAAAGAGAGAAGGGTGGTTGGTGGGTTGAGATTTGTTACTGCCAATGTTTAATGTCAGTTACTTCACCTGATTTATCTGTATTGATTTGTTCAAAGCTAGAAGCAGATGTTGAGGACATGAAGCAAAGTTTGGCTGAACAAGAGAGAACAATGGCCAGAGACTACCAGGAAAAGTGAGACTGTTAGGCTTGTCATGTTTAGCTATTCTTGGACTTAATGGTTTAAGAATCATTCCTAAATTTGTCTCATGATTTCATGATATTAGAGAGAACTAAAGCCAGTTTCCACTGTTGAAAGTAAATTTCTTCATCATCTTACTGCTTATCTATGCATCATTTTTGCTTCTCTTTAGAAAATAAAAATGCAAACCTAATGACACCTGGATTTTTTTTTTTCTTTGCAGGTTGAAGAAAGAAGCAGATGATACCATTAAAAAGTAGGTGTACAATGTTCCCGCTAAACTAATTAAAAAAATATGAATCAAAGCATAAGTCAACTTAGAAAATAATTAACAGTAGTCATCCCTAAGTTTTACTACTCTACATCCCAGCATTTCCCCAAAATTTAAAGCAAAGCAAATTATAGTGTTGTTGTATTTCTAGGGTTACCATGATTACTACCGACCATGAGAGAAGTCTCCTAGCTGCCACCGAAAAGTTGGCCTTGGCGACCAAGCAAGTGGCAGGCCTTGAGGCACAGCTTCAGGACAAAGAGTCAGTCTTTAGTTTAGTCTGTTGTTCTTTGGCTCATTATTTTATTCCTTGCTTGTCTAGAGTTTTTACATTAAAAGCAAATCACTGATCAACTCCTGGATTCATGTTTCTAGAGTGTTAGATGCTGCCCATCCATTTAAGCTTAATCTACTTATACCTTTTCCTGTGTCATTCACTTTCAAGGTTTATCAAAAGCAGATTTATGATTTAGTCTCATACTTAATTATTCCAAAGACACTAATTATATTCTCTGCCATTTCATTGGGGGCTAAAATTTACCCATGATGAATATAAGAAAGGAAAGAAAACTCAAGCCATCAACATGCGTAGTCATCGACTCAGCTGTGCACAAGTTTCCCTTAACCATGTGTCACAAACCTTTTTAAAAAAAAAAATTTGTTTGCTTTGTATTAGTATGCCTCCCCCCCCCCATGTCGTTTAATAAAATTTAATTATTTATAGAAATGCCCACAGACAGGAAATGAAAGCTAAAGAAGGGGAAGTAAAAAACCTGGAAGAAGCTTTGGATGAGCTCAAGACAGACAACATGAAGACAACAGCCTTGTGGCAGGAAAAGGTTGGCATGGCTGTTTCTAATATTTGTTTATTGAACTGATTGGGAAACCTGCTCTCTGCACACTTGCTATCACCAACCAAATTTACTTCTGGTTAAAAAAAAATGAACATATGATCTAGTTTAAAAATAAAATGTTTTTATTTCTTAGACAAAACTTTAAAACAATGTGGTATATGGAAGCTTGAAATATTAAGACAGGACAGTGAAAGAAGAACATTTCAGCTAAGTGCCTTACTCAGCAGATGGGACAAATGAAGAAAAGTTTTTCTTTTCTTGTCCTGTCTTTATATTTTAATCTTCCACATTCCTTGTTCCACTATTTCATTCACACACCTTGAATGCACTCCTTGATTTATTATCCTTTAAATAGTGAGGGAGTAGTCACATATTGCCGGACATTGCAATCCATTTTCTTACCTTTGCTGACTTTACTTTTGCATAATAATTGCCGATCAGTCAGGTTTTGGTTGTACAAAAACACTTCTGTCTGCTCAGTTATTATCTATTTCCAGTTTTATTTGCAGCTTAAGTGAAATTCTTATGTACTCAATCTGCTTATTGATATTTGAATGACATCAAAGTTTTACAGCTTACTTAGCATGAGAGGAAATAAATACTATTCTAAACATGGCTGATTTTTTTTTTCAAGCTCACTGAGCGTGGACAGTTGTCCCATTTCCAAATTTCCACTTACCTATATTTGAGTTGACTAGTTTGACTAAAAATTTAACATTTGCAGCTGATTGAAGCGAAACACGACCAGGTTTACACTGAGACATTGGTAACTACATGAACATAGAACAGGTCTTTGGCTAAACCAGTTGGAATCATCAGCAGCTTTTCATACTTAGATGTTCATTGCTTGTAGAGGTCATAACATTGCAGGAGAAATGATTCAGTTGAAATAAAGCGAATGAAATTATAGATTGATGGTAGGGTATTTAATAAAAAATATAAAAGACAGATTTCCTGGTAGTGGATTTCCTTGTAGAATTCCAACTGGTTTAGGCCTGTATTTAAAGACTTGTGGTTTGCCTGCCCTTCCCCCAAAATCCCCCCTCCATTTAACTGTACTGTTTTAAGCATGGCTATCATTTTAATGAAATGTTTTAACTTGACCTGTGTATGTCAACTAAGCTTGGATTTGCCAGTGTGCTGCCACCTGTAGTGTTTACACATGTCAATGTAACTAATAAAATTAATTTTTTTTTGGTGTGATGGGTGGGGAAAGATTTTTAAAAAATAATAGATCCAAGACAATAAAATATAGTTTGCTCCTTTCATAGTAAATCGGGTCATAAGGAACAGAATTCCATCATCGCACTCTTGTACATTAATTGTTGAACTAATACTTCAGTAACGAAATAATTTTAAAAGTTTACATTTTGTATGATGATCCCCATTGACTCACCCAGGAAGCCCGAGTTTGATGTCAGAGTTAACCCATGTTGTCCTAATGATATCTTAATACCACTATCCACTTTGTGACATGCATCTTATTACCTTTGATTTTGTAACATTTAGAGAATGATGGCACACCACTTTGTTTGACTAAAACACATTTTAACTTCAAAAAAAAATAAAAAAAATAATCAGCCAGCAACTTTTAAAGTTGGTTAAAAAAAATCATCTGACATTTTCTTAGCACTCACTGCAACACTTGGGCTTAGATTCTGCCTTTGCTGTTTAGTGAATTGTGGCAATCAATGCTTTGAATAAAGACCATTAGGCTTTTTATCACTCTTCAGATCATGAAAAGAATTGATTTTGAATAGTGAACAATAGACAGAAATGATACAATGTAGAAGCTAGTGTGAACATTGTGTTAAAACAATGTAGAAGTTAGTGTGAACATTGTTTTAAAACAATTTAGAAGCTAGTGTGAACATTGTTTTAACAGCTGCATGAATGAAAATTTGAAAACAAATTTTTTTTTTTGCTTCTTGTTTTAAAGTGTTGCTTGTTCATTTAATGATATCTGTGCCTGTAACAATTAGCCAATATATTAAATGCAAATAATCTCTCCATGTGCCAGCATTTGTTTGAATATGATGTTGCCCGAAATCCAATGTCAACTGTTAACTAAAATAACATTCTATTAATTTTAATCACTCATCTACATTTAAGTAAAATGTTATATGGGTTTTCACCTAAAACTTTACAATAGGGGTACATATTACTCATTCATAATTAAGTTATTGTGACTGATGGGCTAAAACTCATTTACTGCTCCTCTGACTTTGAGGACCTCATTTCTAGGATTTGTAGAGACACAAAACATTGTTGTAATTATTTGATTGATTTGTATGTGTATTTATGACCAGAGTTCATATTAAAATACCTACTGCACATATACATAAAGTCATAATTTAAAAGATGGCTCTAAATTTGTTTCAGAGGCAAGCATTAGAATCCTCATTAGATTATGTGCAAAGGGAGCTAATTGAGACTAAAGCAGAGAAGAATGAGGTGATTCAGTCCCTTGCTGCCATGGAGTCTAGGCTTGAAAGTTTGCAGGTCAGATAATATCTAGGATTTTGTTGATGATATTAATGGTGTGGGCTAAATTACCTAAAGGATGTTAGTGTTGACAACCTCTGCCCCTGTTCAAACTTTGTTATTAACCTGACAAATAACATTAAATAGAATATGTGTGGAAAGTCTGAGAATTAAAGTATAGTAAGTTAATTACTTGTATTGCAAGCAGGCTCTTGTAACTCAGCTCGAAGGCGACCTCGAAACTGAGCAAGATCGGGTTCAGCAACAGCGCCACCGAGAAGAAGAGCTACGTTCTCAAAATATGAATCTTGAGATCCAGCTGTCAAACAAACAAGGGGACATCGAAAGGCTGGAACGGATGTTGGAAATGGTCAAGCAAGATTTCAGTTTACAGGTTCTAGAAAAAGTGAGTTTTAATTTTAGAATTAACAAATACTTTTATATCAACTATTTTTTTCTCAACCATTTTAAACATGAAACCTCTAGGGGTGGCTTTAGCTTGCAGTGGTGGTCTTTACAACTTGTTGGACACTTATTGTGTGGCTTTAGCTTGCAGTGGTGGTCTGTACAACTTGTTGGACACTTATTGTGTGGCTTTAGCTTGCAGTGGTGGTCTTTACAACTTGTTGGACACTTATTGTGTGGCTTTAGCTTGCAGTGGTGGTCTTTACAACTTGTTGGACACTTATTGTTTTGCTTTAGCTTGCAGTGGTGGTCTTTACAACTTGTTGGACACTTATTGTTTGGGGCTGTATTTATATTTAAGTAAGTTTTAAACAATGTGGCAAAACTGTCAATGGTATATGACCAATTGTCATTCATTCTCATAAAGTGTTATTGCAGTTGGCTAAAGTTCACATTGTTTACTCCGTATTTCCAGCAAAATCTGGCTTCTGGTGCAGAACATCTGGAGAGAGAGCATTTTTTGAACCAGATCAAACTTTTGTCAGCCCAACTGGCCACAATGACAGAGAAATGTAACAGGATGACAGTACAGCAGCAAATGGTGAATACAGAGAAGGAAAACTTGAAGACCAAAGTAGATGAGCTGATGGCCAAACTTGAGCAGGCCAGGTCAGTCCTACTTTTAGTTGTAGTTTGGCTATAGTTGGGATAGTTAGAAAAGTTGAGGGGTGTTGAAAACAATGGAATTTAGGGGTAATCAGCATATATGACTGTATTCTAGATAACCAGCAACCATTGGGTTTGTGCATTACTGGCAGATATTGGGTTTGTACATAACCAGAAACTATTGGGTTCGTGTATCACAAACATCTGATAGTTATGTCTGATAAATCAGCGTCATGTTTTAACGGAATAAAAAAAAAATTAGCTAACCAATAAGTGCTAGAAAACTTTCCATGTCTGTGTCCATTAGTCTTGTTTTAATAGTTGCAATATGTTCAGAAGTCTTCCAAAGTTCAGTCACTACTGGCACCTGACATCGTAATCCATTATGTTGTTTGATTTATCCCCAGGTCCCAGCTGGACACAACAGTTACAGAAAAAAATGAACTGACCACCCTGCTGGACAGCAGGAATGAACAGATGGAGAGACTCGGCAACGACAAAGACCATTACCTTAAACTGGCTGACCAGAGGGCAGATGACTTGACTCAGTTAAAAGTAACCATGGAGACAATGAAGATTCAGCTGGAGGAGAAAGAGAAAATTGTGGGCACTTTCAAACAGCAGTCAAGTAGCATCTCACAGCTCTTGGAGGTACACAAAACTTGTGATAATAGTAGTATGTTAAAAGACAAAAGGGAATACATAATTCATAATAGTATTATAAATGAATTTAGGTTTGTGTAATTTAACTGTTTAGTTGCATTAATTTATTGCAGGCCTGCACAACGTGCGGCCCGCCAGCATTTACTTTGTGGCCCACGAAGTAACGAAATATTCTTTATTATTATTATTTTCTTAATAGCTTTCCCCCTGTCCTATTTTTATTCGGGCCACACAAGTTTTTCATTAAGTATTACGGCCTGCCTTACATTTTGAGTTGTGCAGGCCTGATTTATTGTAAACTTTGAAGGGGACATAATCATGATACCTACCAAAGGTGGAAATAGGTCTGTTCATAAATATACTTGCTAAGAATAAATAGAAAGACAAACTTCCTTGCAGGGGAAATGTCTGTTGCTTTATTTCATTGCTTTATGACATGACATTTTTGTTTGATTAACATGGTAAAAATCTAATTCAATGTGTACCAATGAGCTTGCGACCGAGCCCACTAAAGTGAACTCTAAACTTTTGAATCTGTGCTAAACGAAGGGGAAAATACGAATAATTTTGATTTTTATTTATTTTAAAACCTAAGAAAAATACCAACAATTTTTTTTTATTAAGCATACACCAGATTAAAATGTAAAGGTGTACTGTGCCTTTAGAAGTAGAATGAGAAAGGTAGGCTAAAAATGTGAAAATATGCTACGCATTTGTAAAGTCATAGAATCACTGATCTGAACTAATGTCTTTGTAAAGTCATAGAATCACTGATCTGAACGAATGTGTTTGTAAAGTCATAGAATCACTGATCTGAACGAATGTGTTTGCTGTAGGTTAACAGCCGGGTCAGTGACAATGTGAGAGACGAGAGAGACAAACTGGCTGATGCTCTGGCAGAAAAGACAGCCATCTTTGCAGAGCTGAAAATATCGCACGACTCCCTGGAACAGACGTTGAAGTTCCAAGAGAAGAGACTGGAAGAGCTGGAGTCAGAGGGTTCACATTTGAAAAAAATTATTGCAGTTAAAGTAGGAATGTTTGAGATATTTCAGAATGGTTCTTTATTAAATATCAGCTCAGAATATAAGTTGCAAACACACAAAAAAAGCCTTTTAATATTGTATGCAACAACTTTGTTGACAGTCATTTTATTTGTCAGAGCCAAGATCTTGACTGTGTCCAACATGAGAAAGACAGCCTTAAATCTGAGCTGACAGAGATGGCAGCCAAAGTGGAGAATTTAAAAACCAGGAAAGATGCCCTCAAGAAAGAATTGATAAGAGTAAAAAATCTTCACACAAAAGAAATTAGTAAACTACAGACTCAACTTAAAGGTTTGAAACAAAAAATTTTAAAAAATGTTTTGTACCAGACTGAATATCTGGATTTTAATTATTTTTCAGATTACTACCCAATTTTATATTAATTATTTTTTTTCTTGTTGGTTAGAAACTGATTTTTTTATGTGTTTAGAGTATTTTATTAAGTAAAAAAAAGTGTGATAAAGCTATCAAGCTTTACTTTTACAATAGATAAATGTAATCTGCATATACTATTTTTTCAATTATTGTTGACTTTTATTAATGTTTGATATGAGAGGTTTCATTGTAATTCTTTCATGAATGAGTCTCTTGAAGCATTTTGTTATTATTACGACTTATATTGTCATGATATATACATAAAGTTAAACTTATGGATGAAAAGATAACAGGCTATTAAATTCTAATGATAATTTTATTTGTCTATTATGTTTCTTGAGCTTTCAATCCTTGATGGTGCATGCACCTACTTAAAAAAAACTCCAAACCTGTCACAGTGATCAATGATCATGAGTTTCATCACATCACCTCACCATGTCTACAAAATAATACTTCTCCCTAATTTTATTTTTTCCATTTGCATATCTTTTCCACAAATGCCACATTTTTATCTACTAAAATAGATTTTTTAAACGTATTTTCTCCCAGCTTAGAGAAATATTCATTTGAGTTTCAAAAAATTGAAATTATTATGTGATTATAAGATTGTTTTTGTTTATGCATTCTACGGCAGAAAAACTTATCCAATATTTTGGTACCTTTTCTGATTGATAAACATGCAACCCACTCTTTAAGAATGCACTAAAATTAAAATGAATAGAGTGGAGGTTTTAGGAATGGATTAAAAATAATTATTTTTTTCAATGAATCAGAAGTTCTAATTTTTATGTTTGCCCACACATTGGATTAGAATGTGAACAAGAGAAAAAACTCTCTGTGAAAGCCTTGAGGAGTAAAGACATCATGGATAATAAAGGTTGGTGAAACTCATTTTGAAATGCTCATTATTTATAATGTCAGGTTCTTTTACTGATCGAAACCAAAAGAAATTTCATTTTACACATTGTGCCAGACAAGAACCAATTGCTCATGTCATAAGAAACAACCATTACATGAAATGTGAGAAGTAGAATAAGAGAAATATCTTCTTAACAGCTGTCAAGTTTGCTGACAAGATCCAGAAGGAGATGACCTTAAAGAGAAGTGAGATTGACCAGTTGATGTCCAAGGTACATCGGCTGGAAGAAAAACTGGACACAGTTACCAAGGTAACTAGATGCATGAACTAATTTTTGAGGTCATTTTTCTCATGAAGTTTTGTTACTTAAACATCCAATGAGATTCATAGGAACTAGACTCACTTTGAATTATGGGATGCCAAATACATGCCATAAAAAGATGTCATAAATGCATGCCATTAATAAATGTCATAAACATATGCCATATATAGATGTTGGTAAAGTCACTTAAAAGATGCACATGGCAAAAATGTATCCATCTAAAATATTTGCTGTAGGTTGTGGGTGATAACATGTGTCTATATAATGAATGAAACCCAGCCTAGGTTTCAAAATTCTTGTTTGTTAAAAGTCATTCAGAGTCATCTTCTAGATCAGAACCCAGCAAACTTTTGTTCCCTGTATCACCCCAGGTCATTTCAAACATTCCAAGGCACGACCCAGGCCCCATTTCAAACATTCCAAGGCACGACCCTGGCCCCATTTCAAACATTCCAAGGCACGACCCAGGCCCCATTTTTAACATTCCAAGACACACCCCAAGCCCCAGTTAAAACATTCCTAGGCACACCCCAGGCCCGATTTTTAACATTCCAAGGCACACCCCAAGCCCCAGTTTAAACATGCCTAGGCACAACCCAAGCCCCATTTCAAACAATCCAAGGCACACTCCAGGCCCCATTTCAAACATTCCAAGACACACCCCAAGCCCCAGTTAAAACATTCCTAGGCACACCCCAAGCCCCCAGTTAAAACATTCCTAGGCACACCCCAGGCCCCACTTCAAACATTCCAAGGCACACCCCAGGCCCCACTTCAAACATTCCAAGGCACAACACAATTAAAAACATGCAAAAATATGCTATATAACATTCATAGTGGTTTTTGATGTATTGTATTTCACTATATTATCATTCTGGTTTGGAAGCATTTCTGTTATTCCCAGTTTGACAGTTTGGTAATAGGCTAACCAATGTCACTTTTTGTATCTGTGCTTTTACTCCCCCTGAAGGCATTTAGCTTGGCACACCTGGCATCATCTCATAACACAACAGTGTGACGAGGCACACAAGCTGCGGAGCTCTGTTTTAGATTATTGAAACAAAATTTAATGAATTATAAATATTTTTGATGTTGAGTAAATATACCAAATTTTAAAATTCCTTTTCCCAGACTGAAAGTGATGCTTGAGTCTGAAGTTGTCATTGTTTGTGTTTGAATGTTTGAACACAGGAGAAGACTATGGTCGAGAGGGACAAAGACAGTTTAAAGAAGAGTTTGGCTAAATCTTTATTTCACACAAAAGAACTCTCAGAAAAGCTGCAGGCCACTTCGGACCAGAACAATGACCTAGTGATCAGAGTAGGTCGAATGGAGGCTGAATTAGAGCAGGTAAATAGAACAATGACCTAAAGACTCATGTAGATCAGTTGCTGGCTGAATTAGAGCAGGTAAGTAGAACATGACCTTTTGACCTGTGTAGGTCAGTTAGAGGCTGAAGTAGAGCATGCAAGTAGAACAATTACCTGGTGACTAATAAAAAAAAAATAGGTAGCTGGAGGCTGAAGTAAAGCAGGTGTCACATGACTTGATCAGTTTAGAAAGGAACAATTCCTTTTTACTTTGTGCTTATTATGGAATGTGTAAGTATTGGAACTTTTTCATTCTTAAAATTAGTTTTCTCTCCATTTGTCATCCTTTTTTCTCTTTGTTCTGGTGTATTACTTAAAATTTTTTGTAGTTGTATTCTTTTTTATATCATGATATGTTGTGTTTAGAATGTTGTTTATCTGTTTTTCTGAACATTTGCAATACATGTATGTTTAAAGATCAGGATATCGGATATTTATATATATCTTGATATTTTTTCAATCCCTAAAATCTTTTCTCCTTCCAGAAATCATCAGCTTATCAAAAAAAGAAAGAGAAGTTTGAGCAGGAACTAACCACTCTCAAGAGAAAGCATCATCTAGATGTTAAGGTTAATTAGAAATATGGTTGCATCTAATTTTATTTAATCTGAGTAATTCTACTTAATTCCATGTCATGGTACATTTTCATCTTTTGAATTCTGGGTCCCATCAGTCACAAAATAATATTTAATAAATTGTAAGCTTATTTATTTAGGAGTCATGCTATTAATATCTTGGGTTCAGTCCCTATTCTGATTTTTTGCAATAATGCAATATTTAAGCAATGGATGAAATGGCTACCGAAAACCAGCAACCTTTTAAAAAAAGCAATTAATATAATTACCTGTTAAAGCAACTAGTTCTTCCACACTCAGTTAATATCTCTCTTCCTCACTCAGTTAATATATCTCCTCCTCTCTCTGTTGATATATCTCCTCCTCACTCTGTTGATATATCTCCTCCTCTCTCTGTTGATATATCTCCTCCTCACTCTGTTAATATCTCTCCTCCTCACTCTGTTGATATATCTCCTCCTAGGCAGTTGAAGGGCTGGCGAAATATAAAACAGAGAACACACAAGTGTTTGCTAAAGGCTCATCAGTTTCAAATGCACAACGCAATTTATTCATCACTGATAGCAGAGAGGCTAATGATGGCATTAACAGTGATTCCCCTTTGATCAAAAACTCTAAAGCTGGGAGGCATGTAAGTAAATATGGAAGATCATTTTAGTTTTTTTTTTTTTAAAAGTGCCCTTTGAAAATATAACAAGAATATTTTTTTGCCTTGGGATTTGTACTCCTAATAGATTCTTCAATTTCTTAACTTTATTTGCTAATTTTCCTAGAATTATTTTCCATTTATTTCTGTCAGGTTTATTTTCAGCTCATTCTGCTTCTGCCAATTTCTCTCACTCTCTCATTCATAATGTAAGTTTAATGTCTCTAAGATCAGCTCCATGCAATACCTGCAACGAACACTAACTCTAACTACAGCATTCCAAAGTCTCTACTACAAGTTTGTTTTTGTGATGTCAGCAAAATTATTTAGTCAAAGAATTAGAACATAAAGTGACACTTAAAACAAAAATTATTTAATAAAAGTCTTTAGATAATCCATGTTAGTTATACTAAGGTGGTGTTCCAATAATCCCAATAAATAATCCATGTTAGTTATACTAAGGTAGTGTTCCAATAGTCCCTCTGAATACTTGTCATCACTGTTGGTTATCTTAAGGTATTATTTCAATAGTCCAATAAATATGGTTATATTAGAATAGTGTTCCAATAGTCCTTATAAAACTATAGATACAGATAATCAATGTTGGTTAAACTAAAGTAGTATTCCAATAAATAAGCCATTTTGGTTATACTAAGGTAGTATTCCAATGGTCCAATAAATAATCAATGTTCGTTATACTAAAGTTGTGTTCCAATAGTCCCCATAAATACCGATTATCAATGTTGGTTATACCAAGGTAGTATTCCAATAGCCCCGTAAATAATCAATTTGGGTTATACTAATGTAGTATTTAAATAGTCTAATTCCTGGAGAGACATCTTTTGACATATTGGGGAACAAATGCATTTTTATATATTTTGATCCTAACTTGGAGGGAAAGAACTCTTCTTTAGTTTAAAAGTAACATTTTTTATTAACTTTTTTTTAAAATAATGGAGATTTCTAACGTTGATATTCAGAGAAAACCAGTTGGAAACAAGCCGAACAATCATTTCGGAGATTTTAAACGTTTGGTTCTCACTCCTAAAGGAGGGAGGGAGAATATGACTGAAGTCTCCCCACAAGATGGAGAGAAGCTGGCAAGTGAAGCCAAGAGTACGGTGGGGAAGTGTTCAAAACAAGTTGAATCAGGATCTATGGAGCTTCATGACCTGGGGCCAGGGTGAGTCAACAGTGGGGATTAACTAGAGATTTTATCATTCCATACTACAAGAATAATGGACAGTCTGCTATATACTGTTTTCCAAAGCTGTGAGTTCTTTGAAAAATAATTGTAAAAATAATAAAAATGACTTTGGCTGCTGTGAGTAAAAACCCACCCATAGCTGGAAGTCAGAGAGATTGTTTGGCTTGGTTAGAAGTCAGAGAGATTGTTTGGCTGGGCTAGAAGTCAGAGAGATTGATTGGCTGGGCTAGAAGTCAGAGAGATTGTTTGGTTGGCTGGGCTAGAAGTCAGAGAGATTGATTGGCTGGGCTAGAAGTCAGAGAGATTGTTTGGTTGGGCTAGAAGTCAGAGAGATTGTTTGGCTGGGTTAGAAGTCAGAGAGATTGTTTGGCTAGGCTAGAAGTCAGAGAGAGTGTTTGGCTGGGCTAGAAGTCAGAGAGATTGTTTGGCTAGGCTAGAAGTCAGAGAGAGTGTTTGGCTGGGCTAGAAGTCAGAGAGAGTGTTTGGCTGGGCTAGAAGTCAGAGGGATTGTTTGGTTGGCTGGGTTAGAAGTCAGAGAGATTGTTTGGCTGGGCTAGAAGTGAGAGAGAGTGTTTGGCTGGGCTAGAAGTCAGAGAGAGTGTTTGGCTGGGCTAGAAGTCAGAGAGATTGTTTGGTTGGCTGGGTTAGAAGTCAGAGAGATTGTTTGGCTAGGCTAGAAGTCAGAGAGAGTGTTTGGCTGGGCTAGAAGTCAGAGAGAGTGTTTGGCTGGGTTAGAAGTCAGAGAGATTGTTTGGCTGGGCTAGAAGTCAGAGAGATTGTTTGGCTGGGCTAGAAGTCAAAGGGAGTGTTTGGCTGGGCTAGAAGTCAGAGAGAGTGTTTGGCTGGGTTAGAAGTCAGAGAGATTGTTTGGCTGGGCTAGAAGTCTTAGAGAGTGTTTGGCTGGGCTAGAAGTCAGAGAGAGTGTTTGGCTGGGCTTTAAAGTATCAAAATATTTTTCTTTGTCTTACAGGCTGTTAGGAGCAGGTATTTTTGATGCACTTAAAATTTGTATATACAATTTGCATGATTTCCCATTCACATTTAATCCTCATCCGTAGCATTGATGTTGATGGCCAAGGCCACCAAACAGATAAACTGTCTGCAGCCAGCTCTGTGTCAGACTTAACTGATGAGTTCTCTTACAAAGGTGAGAATATGGCGACTTTAAAGTCATTTTGAAAAGAAAAAAAAAATGAATTGTTTTTTGTTTTTTTACTCAGGGTTACTTCCTGTCCGAGATTGGCTGCTTTACTAACAAGTCCAATCCTGGCTAATTACCCATCTCTAGTTAATATAAATATAATATAATATAATAAAGTATAATATAAACTCAGAATGACATTTTTAATCCTTTCTATCTGTACTCTTTGAAACACATAAGTATCACAATAAATCCAACAAATTCAAATATCTGAACTAATAAGTTAAACCCAATAATGAAACAATTTAAATTGATTAAATCATTTTCAGTCTAGTCTGTTAAAAGGAGGTAAATTAAAAAAATATTTTGGCCATAAATATAAATTTCAAATCTTGGATACTTTTTCAGCAGAATGGCGCCCTCGTTCATATTCCCTTACTCAGGCAAATGCTCCAACTCCAATGAAAGATTTGGAAATAACACATGGGACAAGTTTTCTATCTAAAAGTGGGAACTCAGACACACTACGTCATAGTCATTCACAAGACAGAACAAGACGGCTAGGTGAGATAACAAACTTTGTCTCAAGTCATTCACAAGACCGAACAAGATGGTTATGTGTGATCACATCTTATCTTTTCCTCTCAAGGTTATGCCCTGGCATGAATAATCATTTCTTAATTTTGTCTCTCAAGGTTATGCCTTGGCATGAATGATCACGCGTCTTATTTTTGTCTCTCAAGGTTATGCCCTGGCATAAATAATCACACCTTATCTTTGTCTCTCATGGTTATACCCTGGCATGAATGATCACACACCTTATCTTTTTCTCTCAAGGTTATGGCCTGGCTTGAATGATCACACACCTTATCTTTGTCTCTCAAGGTTATGGCCTGGCTTGAATGCTCACATCTTACCTTGTCTCTCAAGGTTATGCCCTAGCATGAACAATCATTTCTTATCTTTGTCTCTCAAGGTGATGCCCTGGCATGAACCAGTTTTAAAGAGGGGACAGGATCCGCCCTGAACTCTGTTTTTATCATTACATTAATTTTCTGTTCATCTCTGCAATTTAAGTTTGGCAACAAGTACTATACACCATCAATCTTTGCTTTGAGTTTTCTGCTCATGTTCATACCATCAATTATGAATAAGGGGAAAATTTTGCACAAGTATTTTAATATTTTTTATCTCTATCTAAGAAATATTTAGCTTAGCAAAGGTTGGTCCAAAAAATTAATCTCTGGTTCTTGTTACAAACTGCATATAGAAGATAAGCAGTTTATTGGCTTCATTAGGTCTAGGGGGCTAATTAATCAACAAATCAATGGTTTATATGACAAATGGCTCTTAATCAAATAAAGCATGACTTCTTTCATCCGCTTTCTCTCTGCAATTCCATTACCACTACCAATGCCATATCCCAAACCCAAATATGTCACAAAGCACATAGCAAACAGCTACACAAATACTCTCAGCACCAAAACACGCACCCACAAAACACAAAGGATTAACAGTATTATTATATTGTTTATTTTTATCACAGTAAATGGCATGGTACTATTTCCTGATACCCAAGAGTTGTGTCGCAGACTTGAAGAAAAAATAGAGAATTTGACACGCATGGGAGGCAACTTGGTAAAAGAAAACAAAGGTAATAAATTAATTCAGCTGCTCAAATAACCCTCAGAAGTCAAATGGTAAACGAATTCACCCACGCATGGTGCAAAAATTTTTTTTAACAGTACTAAAGCCAAAAGGCCAAACAAAATATTTGTTTACAATTTTCAAAATACTCAGAATTAAAAGATGTCATTTTTAATCTGTAAAATTAATTTGATAATGCCACCATCAAGTCAGATGAGACTGTAACATTAATGTGATGATGCCACCATCAAGTCTGACAAGACTAAAATGGATGTGATGATGCTACCATCAAGTCTGACGAGACATACTCCAGTCAAAATAGAGTCCTGTCACATCAACAAATGTTTTTAGGAGATACTGTGTCCATACCTTGTTCTCTTGCAAGCTAACAAATTAACATTTTAATCAACAAGCACTTCACTGAAGTCTATTATTGTAGTTGAAAATTGTACATTAAAAAATCTTGTATACAATTCTTCACCTTACAATGTAATTGTTATTTTTTTTAAACTATTAATGATTCACTAGTTTTTAATTGGGTGCTGTTTTTTTTACTCTGGGTCCGGGTATTTTAAGAACATACATGGTCGGTCCAAGTCTTACAAAAAATGGGTTAACTTCTCATTTTCTATAGTATGCAACACCTTATGTCTATATAAAAGACTCAGTGCTATTAATATAAAACATGTGGAATTATTTGGGTGGTTTTTCAAGAGGAAGCAGGATGCACCAAAAGCAAAATATATATGAGATGGTCTACTACTAAGACCAAATGACCATTGGGCTCTAAAAGTAAACAAATAAGATTGATGATGCCCTTTTGAGAAACTAGAAAATGTAGACTGGTGAAAATTGTATCTTTGTCTGATATGAGATGTATTCATAGGTAAAAAAGTTAAAATTATGTGCAAAGTACGGGCTAATTAAAATACTCGGCATGTATGGAAAAGTTCTTTTTTCAGGGCTTTTAAATTTGTTTTATCAAATTACTTTTTTTTTTCAACATACCATGTTTTTAGAAAAAACTCTTAGAGTTTAGCATCCAAACAAATTATTATTAGAATCACTGTTAGATTATGGATTATATTTTGGATGCTACCTCGAATTATCCTTCACTCTGGTGGTCAAATCCTTTTAAACCCTTTTTAAATTGATTTTAATAGATTACATCTAGATTTTGCCACATCAGTTTAAAACCACTGCTACAAAAGAAAAATTATTGAATTCAAATACACATTACCCTATTATTATAACTATCATTACTAATAAGCAATGGCATACAAGAATCCAAAGTCATGATCTAGTTTAAATATCATAACTGAAAGTATTTTACTTCTAATTGTTTAGATATGGCTGACCTGATCAATTTACAAGGAGAAAAACTTGACACAGTAAAGCAAATAGAGAGAACAACATTGGGTCAGACAAACTCTGGATGAATTGCTACATGGAAAAACAAACTGACTGTAACTGAAAGGGAGAAAGCCGCTGTGAAAATAAGTCACAAAATTGTTTTGTAGAAAAGGTCTATTTTATATGAGGACACTTTTGAATTATCTGTTACTGAAAGCATTATCCTAGTAACAAATTTTTACCCATTTACACAATTGTACATTTGTGAGCATTTATTATTCAGTTATCTCTTCATATTAATATATATTTTGTGATGGTGTTATGATAAGCATTTAATATCTAGAATTTTACTTTTAGAGTCTTTATATTATTTTAAAAAATGAATTCTTAATTCATGGTTATAAAGAAGCAGCCATAAGAACTACTTTTGCAATTATTAATTATAAAATATTACAGTGATTAATTAAATTAGAGACTAGCAAAAAATGTGCCAGTTACCTTTTTCTGCTGGTCATTTCACTTAACACATGCATATCTTGAGCTCATATCCCCATCAAGCCCAAACAATAAGGCTATCTAGTTGCATGACATCACTGCAAGCCATGTGCTCACATTTAATGTTTTTTCTGTGTTTAGATTTGTGTAATTAAAGAGGGAATATTTTTTTAGTGCATTGTCTTCTTGATATTAAATTCATAGAGCCTGTCACTGAATGACACACAATAGAATAATTACATATGTCATTAATAATTAAAATAAACAACCTGACACGTTTTCGCTGGCAGTAAAAGCAATTTTATTACCGGTACTTCACAAATAGTGGCCCAACATCGACCGGCTGTTGTATAACATTTTTAGCTATTTCTAACATTGAGAGTTAGAAATTCAGATAAAAATTTAATTTAACAGAATGTAGTGTAAAGTGTATAGCAGACATACAATAAATAGATTTATCAAATATATGATGAACAAAAATTGTGATAATAGTTCTCTGTAATATGTAATTTAAAAAAAGGCACTTATAAGCTTTAACACTCTGTAACATATTGGCAACTATTCTTCCTTAATAACAGCCCCTTATAAATGTAATTTTAGCAGAAAGATTCAGAGCTGTTTCCTTTGGTTTGTTAAAAAAGTGTTTGTCTACAATAAGGTTAAACCATTAATTTATGTGATGAAGACCAAAGAAAAATAGTATTATATTTCTGACATAGGTTGGGAAAATGTCCACTGTGGTTAGAGTAGAATTAGATAACATTCTCTCACATTAATTATCTTATTGACTGCAGGTCGTAAAAAACATTTTTTAAATGCTCATTTTGTACCAGAAGATCATTGTATGCATTACTTATTTTATTAATCGGGATATATATATATATTTGCATTATATCTACTAAAATTAAGCCTAATATTTTGTGTGATGCATTTAACTTGTTACTACTCTGTGTGTGTTACTGACAAAATATTATATAATGATGTACAATTTTATAAATAAAATTTACCCTGTTGTTCCTCCTCCCCCGTTTTAAAAGAAACAAACTATTTTTTTTTTAATGTTTCTAACTATATTTATTATATCATGAGGAATGGAGCAAAAGTAATAAAGTGCTGTTATAAACAAATTAAGGAATCTAGTTGTTTGTCCTGATGAAAGTGAACTTTAAGATGTTAGCCAAGCTATCATGGGTGTTGGTGTGGATGCAAGAACACCATGCTTAGCTAGTAAAGTATGAGCATGGCTCTTGCCATTAGCGAAGGCAACTCAAAAAGAGAAAACTGAAATGGGTGTAAATGTTTCTTTTATCCATGTTGAACAGCTTTTGTTCTCACTCTTGATACAAGTGACCTTTTGCTCAGACTTGCCTGGCACATCCCAATTCATGTAACCTTTTACACAGGCCTGCTAAGTGAGCATGTCAGCCAATGGCCGAGTGTATTTGAAGTTTCCCAATTCATGAAGCAGTTTCAGACCCAGGTGTTTTTTACATTGAGATTGTTGTTGACATCCCTTGAGGTGACCTGATGAGATATATGCATTAAAAGAAAACAGGGACAGTCCATTAGATATGCATATGTAATGTATCATTTGAGGCATTCTCTGTATAGCAACATCAGTTAAGAACAATTTTTAAAATAAAAAAGCTTATACCAGACAGAGAATGCATGTAAAAGAAATATTTTCTCCTAGCATTCAAATGATAAAAAAAGACACATTGCTAAATACAGTATTAACAAATCAGTAAAGACAGATTTTTTTAAAAATAAAAAGCTTCATGTTGGAAAATATTAATATAAATATATAACTATTTTGTTAGCCTACCTAATGGCATGGGCAGTCGAGCTGAAAATTTTTTTAAGCTTGCTATCTCTGACTTGACATCTTGATTTCTATGGCTGTCTGGTGTTTTAAAAGCTTTAGTTTCTTTGGTTGTGTGCTGATATTTAGATGGCGAGATTGAACCATGCAATGGTGGACTAAATCTGTTAAAGATTCTTTTATGCGTCATATAATCATTACTGCCAAGTGCATACACAGAAGGTGTGATTTCTCTGGTGAAAAAAGTCTTATCTGACTTGAGGAAGAAGTCACCATATGTCAATCTGCGTTGGCGATCCAAGAAGTGCTTGACTGATGTATATGATTTTACTGGGTACTGCTGCCAAGGTGGGGCTCGTAACGCAGCAGGTTCTGTGGAGTAGGTAATTTGTGGCGCATCAGTACTCATCTTTGCAATTCTGGATTTAAAACTTAAGTGCTTCTCATCTATTGTTTGTGAGAAAGTGGTAGAGTTTCCTTCACTCCCTAAGTCTGTAGCCATCTTCAGGACTGGAAAACTACTGTGGCGTTTTCCAATTATGTGTTTTTTAAAGCCCTTTTTATTTTCATCCCTGATGTCAACATGGGGCCGAAATGCTGCATTGTTGGCATTTTTTTGGCTTTCACTAATTTCCTCCAAATCCTCCAACCTCATGCCCCCGCTTTCACTCTTTTGTGTTGCAGCTTCTTCATCCCTTTTTGAGTTTTCCCGTAAATTCCATTGAGCCAAATTATGAAAATTCTGAATCCTCGTAGTTTTAAAATCTCTTTCTTTTGCAGTAAATGGTCTGTCTATGAGATGAGATTGAGTCACAGAGTCTTCACTGTTTTCAGAACATTTGTAAACACCCCTTATACACTCGTGGGGCCTAGACTTTCTGGCTTTTTGAAACCTCTGTACAGAAGCAATCTCAAATGAGACTTTGGGATCAAGAACTATGTTTTGGGGGACAGCTTTCAAGTGAGACTTTGATGGTTCACGTGTGTCCTGATCAGAGTCTGGGGTCAATTCATACCTTGTGTTTGTGTTGTGATTTCCCCTTCCAATCCTAAAGGTGACATGAGGCAACACTGTTAACTTAGCTTTTCTAAAGCCATTTTTGGGGCTGTGTAATTCCTCATTACCTGTTGGTGTCAGATTCTTGTTTAACCTACTTTCCAGATCTTGTTGAGAATCATGGCTGCCAACATCTGTTTGTTGGGCCTCGCCTGAAACTTGGCTGGGTAAGTCATCATTATGATGGCTGTTGTTGTTTTCACACATACCATGAACTGAGGATGGAGAAAACTTAAATTAATTTATCTTCAAAGGTTTAATAAAAAATAACAAATTTGCTATTTAAAAATATTTTTATAAGATTTCATTAGTTTCACAGAGGATAACTTTGTTCAACTGGACAGCTAAATAATACTTGGAACAAATAATAGTATTTCAACATATCAGTTTTATTTTTAGAGGCAATTTTTTAATCAAAAATATGTTTCAGATTTAAATAAAAAATACTAACCAAATGATTATTCCTTTAAGTTCTTGCATATTTAGTTAGCTGTAGATTCTTCTAATTTTACAATAAATACTTCAGAGAAAAGCAACACAAATTATAGCTTACAGTTATTAATGAAATCATCCTCTGCAGACCACTGATACATTTTTTGACTCATTGTTTTCTCTCTGTTGATTCTAGGCGGTCGTTTGGTATACAGAAATCCATTCATATCTTCACCTGGTGGATAGAACAAATGCTCTGTCTCCAGGGCATGATCAGGCCTCCAATTGGCTGAAAAATCTCTCTGTTGTATGGCACTGCCACTCCTTTTCCGGGTAGCAAACATAGGTGAAACTGGGGCACGAATGCTAAAAAAAGCAAATAACATCTTGTAGTGTAAAGCTGGACAGAGTGAAACAATTTCACATGAACTGCACACACATTAGCTAAACTTTTCAACAAAGATCTATTTTGTGAGTAAACCAACATATGGACTGATACTGAGAAGCACTGAATGAGGCAAAACTTTAACAGATGTTACTAAGTAGATAACTGAAATTTGGAATGTGGATACATAGCACTTTGTATCAGGACACACGTGAACCATCAAAGTCTCACAAAGTATGCAAGAGTGCATACATGACATATGCATATTCCAAAATAACATACATCTGAAATCATTTGGTAAACAAGTAAGTTTTTAAGTGAAGGAGAGCTCTTGACAGGTTGTCCAAATGATAACAAGTCTGTAAAATTAACCTGTTCGGCCGTCTACCGGAGGCTGAGCGACATCTTCTTGTTGAGGAAACACCAACTCTTATAGGCTTATTGGTCAGTTGAATTGCCATATTGGGCTCACTTCCAATGTCCAGGGATGCCATAAAAACCTGGTTGTTATTCTGATAAGTCAATTTATCTTGGTGCTTTATCAAAGTTGTACTCACACCCTCGGGATCTGATAAAGGGAATGCATTTGACGAGGTCACTGTAAAAGAAAAGTATTTCATTAGTTTTGGCAATCAATCAAATAAATATAAATGAGTATTTTCTCCATCAATAAATTTCATATTTAATCCATAATGTGTCAGAAGCATTGCTTTAATTGATGTTAAAACTGCAACCAGTTATAATATATTTGGACAATCAAGGATCAAGATGAGCAAAAACCTCATTCTGAGGTTATTTGGGTTAAGTTTGTATGCCTATTATTTCAATTGCTGGGGTAAACATTATCTCAGTTACACATCTTTAGAGTGTGCCACTGGGATTTTTAATTTTTTTTTAGCTTTATATAATATTTCTTAGTCCCAGTACCATTTAAATAAATAATGAGCCATGTAAACAGACCTGGTTAACCTGGAACTCCCTAAACAGTAAAATTTAGTCTCAGAATAGTATTTAATAATCTCAAAATTGTACAATACCATATTGTAACACTTAAAATAATAAGCATACAGTTAGAGACTGACCGAATTTTGGTTTCTGCCGAAACTGAAAAGTTAACTTTCGGTTTAATTTCAGTTTCGGCCGAAAGTGATTGAGACTTTCGGCCATCTGGCTGAAAGTGACTGGGGTTTTCGGTCATCTACCAGAGGTCAGGTCTGATATTTATTATTGCTCGACGTCTTACTGTCATTGTATTATATATGACTAATACTTTGCGAAAACTGCTCACCACTGCATGATGACCTACTTGTCCTTAATTTCCAAAAAAATTAAATTTCAAGTAGGTCTAGGCAAATGTAGACAGTTTTGTGGAAGAAAAACGAATGGAATTGTAATATTTATTTCATTATTTTTGTTCTAATTTTTCAAAAATAACATTTTAAATCCTAGGTTTATTCAATTCATTCATTTGTGATATTCATTTTGATTTATCATTAACATGTTCATCAATGTTGTCATAGGCAAAGGTGAATAATATTGAATAATCCTAGGAAATGGTAATATTTCCTCTATTATTTTTGCTTTCTCTTTTTTTTAAATTAAGGAAACCTAGGCCTTTTCAATTCATTCATTTCTTGAAATTCATCATTATCATGCTCGTAAACATTGTTATTGAGGAAATAACACACGTGTTGTGCATGTATCACGGGTTCGTATACTAATTATGTAGTAGGGCTACTGCAGAACTGTTTATTTTATGATTTTGGCGACCAATTTAGATGTCTTTTGCAATTCTCCGTCGAGACCCATGATCAGAACAACAATTTTAAGAGACACAAAGCATTAGTATGACAATAACCGCCAAACATTGTGCTGATTTTGATAGTCTTAATAAATTGTATTTAGGTGACAATTGGCTCTGTTGGAGCCACAATAATTATTGTAGGTATATGTTCTAGAATGTTATAATATTATAAAAGCAAAGGGCACTCAAGGGTCTATTTTGCATGAATTTAGCTCCCCCTCCCCACCCCCAAATGTTTCTCTTACCATACTACTTTAAGAACATAGTAAAAGCCAAAGTATTCATTAAATGTTTATTTATTAATATTCACGATGATCTCATTTTTTTTTATAAAAAAGAATTTAAATATTGATACTCTCCCCCATCATTATTTGATGTTTGCAGAATGTATTCGTGCATGAATTTCAAAATACCTAAATATTTCAGTTTCGGCTGAAAGTCTGGTTAAGTTTTTGGTTTCTGCCTCGGGCGAAAGTCTCGTTAAGTTTTTGGTTTCAGCTTTGGTTTTGGCCGAAAGTCATTTTTAAATTTCGGCCGAAATCAGAAAATCACTTTTGGTCGGTCTCTCCATACAGTATAATGTACATAATAACTTTTGCATCACATGTCTAATAAAGGTCACTTGTCATAGTAGAATATGCAGTGCATTATTGCAAATAAAAAGGTTCCTGCCATTCGCCTCTTAAATAGACAAAGATGTGGTGGGGGAGTGGAAACTGAGAACACCCGCCAAAGTCACCCAAGTAAAAGTGGGGGTGGGGTTTGGGGGAGGACGCTGAGCCCCCTTCCCAGAAATTGTTTTATAAATTCGATATGCAAGGATGCACTTTTACAATACCTGAATATAGTTTTGCGCCAATCTACACTTACTTGTAATGCTTGCGTAAAATTAGGTTCGCTCTACCAAGCTATGCTTATATTAATCCTTTTTTATTTTAGTATTTGAAAATAGTAAAATAGTTTTATAATATATTACTTATTTCAATCTATTTTTTTTAATGAATCCAAAAAAAGAGAGTTACACCTAAATAGCCAGTACTAGCACACACAAAAAAGTCATGTATATATATATTTCAAATGTGCGTTTATGCAAAAAATAAAATAACTGTTAATTGAATGAAGAAATAATTGCATTTGTGGTACATCCCGCAGGCCACAATATTTAACATGGTTGCATTTTGCGTAGGAGCCTGATTTTATTTTACGTTAACATTTTGTAGTCTAATAACTACCGCAAGCGGTAGTGGGAGAAGGGAAGAGAAGAGCTGGAACAAAGCTGGGATCTTAAAATTGTACAGCTGTTTAGTGACTTCTAAAAAAAAAAGATTTCAAATGTCGCTTACTAGATCTTATAAAATATGTCCATAACTAATGCTACTGTGCGGAGCAGTTGTGAATACCTTTTTTAAAAAAAATCTTTTGTTCTCTCCAATTTGACAGCATTTAAACTGAAGAGTACAAAAGTAAATTTAAAAAAATTAAGCCATACAGCACAAATAATATCTAGACACATCCCCCTACCCCACAAATTCACACCCATACGCTTTCAAGTCAACACCATCCACTTTCTCCTCTCAGTGAGAACGTAATAATTTTGGATGGCCCCCAGCCAATCATATTGATCTTCTATTCACCACCGGTTGTAGAAAGGAGCTGAAACTAACAACCTAAAACGTTTAATTTAATTTTTTTTTAGATCGTAAAAACCACAGGAATATTTTTTTTAACCCCATCTCATAAAAACGTCGTTCTGACAGGTCTCGACAACCAATCATAAAAGACATTTCAAAATCGTACATTGTATGCCCAAATCGTATTAGTACCTGGTCTGTGTAAACCAACTAATGGGCTGATACTGACAAGAACTGAATCAAACTAAATGGCAGTAATGAAGCGACTTCTACTTGAGTCGATACATGAACATTTATATCATTCTGATTTAAATCTTTTGATGTAGTGATGTGACGGATGTCTCTTGAATCTGAATAAAATCGTAACCTACCCATATGAAATTTAGATTGGAACTGAACTTCGTCTAGTCTAAAGATGGCTGCTACAGTTGAATCTGCCTAAAATAAAAAATGTACTTATTTTTAATAGATTACAGACAATAGAAAAAATTGCAAATCTTGGACTAATTCATCAAAAGTGTAATTAGCTGCATAGGGTACGTCCAATTTTTGTGAAACAGAGTATCTTGCCCTTGGTTGCCGCTTTCTTTTACTAATTAATTAGGTCGGTTCCAAAATCATGTTTTTGGATTTTTCCAAAATCCAAAATTTGATTTCAGTAAGTTAAGTAGGGTTAATTAAAACAGACCCAATTATACAGCTTTTAAAATAAAGCTTATACCTTTCCTCTGAAAAATTTCTTTCCTCTCAATTCATCGTGATGTCATCCCATACATGTTTACTTAGCCAAACCACAACAACCACAAATGATATGAAAGCAAAAATGATATGCACCAACCCATATCGCTCTTTTCTTTCTGAAAATAAATATTTTTTCTTTCGTGATCGTACCCCATACAAACAGTGATACCCATTTCCATGAAGCATCAAATCTTAGAATGCAGCTTCTGTGGGCCATATGTCAGATTTAAATATAAAACTTGAAATTTTATTTTTAGCCCTCAAAAAACTATTTGACATGAATTGGAGATATCAATTTAGCCTATGTTCTTGATTTCATGTTAACAAGGGCAATAAGTTAAAACAAATTAAATCTCACATTGAGTAATAACATAATCTATAGTTTTTTTAATTGTTGTGATTGAAAAAATATCGTTTAATGTATAGGTTGCTGAATTACAAAGATGGCAATGACATAATTATCTTGTTTTGAAAATCATTAGTATCCTGTGCAGCAACTGTCTGATACTGGACTGTAAAGAGAAAATATCCTTTCAAAGTATATTATTATTATATTTCTCCTAAAAATGGACTTTGATAAATATTGTCATATATACATTATTTAGAATTGTATCAAATATTTCTGATCAATTCGTATTATATATTTTCCCCTCCCAAATGCGGCATAGTTACTTTGCTCACTTGAATACATCAACATACTTATTGACACCAACCAGGCCAGTAGCATATACTATTTATAGGCCTATATTTAGACCAGCTTTTTGAATGGAAAACTCTTAAACTAAAAATGCTTTCTGACCAAAAGTCCAACCTGAAGAGAGGGATTATCTCTAAGCACCCAAACTGCAGCGTGTAATCTAGCATTTTCATCCTTCAACTTGATGTTCTCCAGCTTGGCATCTTCAAGGTTGTGATGGTACAGGACACCATTAGGGAACCGGAGTTGCATCAACTGATGAGTGTCTGGAGAGAGGAACAATCATTTAATATCTTGAGAGAAGAACAATCATTTTATATCTTGAGAGAGGAACAATCATTTTATATTTTGAGAAAGGAACATTGATTTTATATCTTTTAGAGAGAAACACTGATTTTACCTCTATAGATTAAACATGACAAAATTTATCAAAAAAAGGTAAAAACATAATTTAAAAAAGCATAGCTACTGACTTAGTTCTAACGAGTAGCAACATTTTAAAAAAATCCATAATTGAGTAGGTCAGACTCGAATTAAGTTTTTTTAGAAAGAGATATAGCAATATAGTAAAAGGATGACCCATTAGTTCAAAGTTAAAATTTAAAAAAAAATTTTTTTACCAGGAAAGGAAATGAGATAATCATTGTCTCGCAGACTGAAGACAAGATTAATGGCATTTTGACAGGTCAGGTTGGGCTCACTCCTGATCAGAGTCAGACAGTCCCAGAGACGCAGGTTGTCCATATACAGACGTCGATTCTCATCCCACAAATTTGTAGAGCCCATAATTTTGCTTGATGTTTTCTCCCTTTCTGTCAACTGGCTACTGTTCTCCACAGGACTCCCCACATTTGTGCTCCCATCAGGCCCCATCCAATTCCAGCATTTGCCATACATATATGCCATCTTACATCTTGTACTTTGTAGCACTAAACTTCACCTCACTTTAATGGTCTGCATTAAATTTTTGGGGAAAAAACACAAAACTGAAAGAGGAAAAAATAACAATGATTAGTTCAGGGATGTAATTATCAGTCGTTGTTGTTGTTTTACAAGCTAATTCCTTTTAAAATATCATATTCATAAGTGGCAGTTGAAATCTATTTTTAGACGTGACAAAACAACTCACATATTCATACAAGTCTGTTACCAGGACATAACCTTGTGCATTAGTTACTTAGTGACCACAAACCTTGTGGTAGCCAACCTATGTTGATTACAGTAACGGGACTGCAATACTTGCAATGAGATCTGCATTAATGAAAACTTTTAAAGTGATATCTACAGCAGAATTGATGCTTGCAAAGACAAAGCCACCTCAGATTTCATTACAAGTACCGGTAACAGAATTTATTTTTGGACACAGATAAAGTGAGTGGCTATTTAATATATTTAATACATTATGTTGCATGTTTATTATTTTAAAAGCCATTTATTATATTTAAAAATTACTAGTTAATGTTTTTTAAAAGTCTGGATGGATAAAAATAATGTATTCTGATTTGTTTTTATTAAGAACCTGTTAGATTTCAACATCCTTAGTATTCATAACGCTATTATCAATTTGTTTTTTCAAGTCTTGGAACCTGGTTTCTATTCCATTTTTTGTTTGATATTAGTTTTACAACTAAACTATCATAATTACTATTTTAAATTAGGAGTTTTCACTGTTTCCAAAGCAGCAGATCCATCCTCTTCACACAGCCAGGTGACAGAAGGAAATATCAAATTGCTGATAAAGCGTGGCTTGAAGTTTTGCTTATTTTGTTGAGGGACTCCAGCTCCTGATTTTTATGTTGGGTTTAATCCCATAACCCTAACTATTTGACTCCCAGAATATTTTCACGGTTTTACGAAGCACCTTTGAACACAGAAACAAAAGCAAGCCCACTGTTTAAGTTAAATATAAAAATACTGAATGATATAAAAGATAGACAAAATGGTTGCAAATCAATGGAAGAAAAATTGACCTAGACCTGAAGACGCATGTATCATTGTAAAATGAATTGAAAGTTGTTTTTATAAACATTTTTAGGAATAAAATAGGAATTTTTAAAATAAAAATTATAAGTGAAAACTTTATACAAAAAATGTTAATGACAGTAACAAAAATTAATTTAACACTGTAATTTTATAATTAGTAACTATTTAAAAATCTTTACAACCAAATTTGGATTTTTTCTTGTTCTTTAAACAAGAAAACATCCAAATTTAGTCAAAAAAATTTTTTTCCCCCTATTTAGTAAAAACCACCACACTATAAAAAAATAAAGATACAATAAATACAATATTATTATATTCCAAATTCCCTACATCTAATACAAAAGATAGACCTGAAGTGTCATACAACAATGGCAAGAAAATTGTTTTGATGTGATATTTTGCTGGTTTAGAAGCATTAGAAATTAGAAGTACTTCCAATATCTCCAAGTGACTTTGAATCTAATCAATATGTCATCAATGTTAGCAAACTTCCATTGTCATAGATGGATAATCCCAAGAATAAGACAGTAAGTTGTTTCATAAAGAAAGCTAGTTATTTTCTGGTTCTCTGGTTGATAACAGAGTACATTCAGTATTGTTTGAAAACAGTTTTGATTAATCATCTTGATGTACTATTGCAGAGACACATTGAGTATTAGCCAGCCATAATGGTGATTTGAATGGGTGAAAATTTGTTAATCATGTCTGTTTACATATTATATTTTAAAACACTCAATTGTGAGTTTGTTAGTCGTGATGTGTTTCTTTGCACTTGATAATATTATCCACTCTCACATGTCTAACTGTCATGAGAATAACAATAAGACTTTCTTTGTTTGTGTGATGTAGATTTGGATTGACATTGTGACTTTGCTAAATCAAAAATTATCTGCTGTTTTGCCCACTTCCATTTCTTGCCACCTTTTAGTTAACAGGGGCTTGGCATCCATATGCTCTGATAAAGTTGCAGATGTTTGAAAGTGGATTAGAGAAGTATTATTACTGGTTAGAAATTGTATCATTACTTAATTTTACAATTCAAATTCAGTAGTTTTAAATTTAGTAAATAATCCTCTTCCTCTTACTACAAATGTTTCCCCCTTTGGTTCAGGGCAACGCAGTTTTCCTTGAGGTTACAGTTACTGGTAAAACATTTGTTACACCAACTTTTAAGATGTGGTTGTCAAGTTTTACTTACTCAGATTCACTAAATTCAGATGTCCCGAGATGTAAAACTAATACTAATGTTTGTTTCATGGTATACGAGAATTCGAATTAACTCTAGAGCTTTACGTGCAGTAAATCTTTATGTAGGAATGCACTGGATCCATTTGGCTAAACCTTAGTAGGAAATCAGCAAGTGAAAAATAATCCAAACAAACAAATCGGACTGTAAGTATGAAACAGCTGGTTGAAAAACAGAGGAAAATGCCTGATCACTGATACTGATATGATAACAATATAAAATAATAATAAATAAAATACTAGATCAGGAGGTGAAACCAAATATTTACACCACTTGAATAACTCACTATGAATGTCAAGAAACATAAAATATATAATAAACAGTGAGCTACTTAAATATTATAGTCTTTGGATAATAATGATGGTGGGTGCTCATCAAAATGTTTATCTAATTTACACCCATTAGCATTGGACAAAATGAATTATAAATTGTAGACACAAACACTTAACTCCATGGCCAGGATTTTTCATTTGAAACACCACTTCGCTTTAATGAATTTCCATATTTTGTTTATTTATGTGTCTGTGTGTGTAAATTACTGTTTTGCTTCACTATTACAAATACTTAGGGTTTAAAATTTAATCATTTACTTTATATTTAGCGTGGCCTATAATTATGATTACCATTTTTATCATCATTTTGCAGTAAATTGTAATATTAATTACAAGATACATAATTTAAACTGACTACATCAAGTTAGTCTGGCAAGTTGTTGTTTTAAATTAATGTTATTTATACACCCTCAACCCAACTAATAACAATGTTTAGGTTCGCCAATAGCCGTTTGGTTCATTTTTTTTCTTTCTTTTTAGTAATATTGGGTCCTTAAAAGGTCGAACTACATATTGGGGGCGTCCATTAATTACGTCAACAAAATAGAAGGGGGAGGGGGTTTGGAAATGTTTGACTGTTGTTGACAAAGGGGGGGGGGGGGGTTTAGATTATTTGACGTCAACAATCATGCTTTTTTCTATTAAAATTTTAATCTTAAAAATTGACTGGTTTTTACATTATTTTTTTAAAAAATTAATGAGTGTAAATAATCAAAATGTTAAGGCTTTTAAAAGTATAAGAGTTATTTAATTAATGTGTGTCTGTCTGTGTGCACTGCAGATGGCTGGTCAGAATGTTAGCACATTTTGTTAGTGCAAGAGAAGTCAAAAGTTGGCATCTCTTCACCTGTCATTTTTCTTTTAATCCGCTCCCTAGAATGATTAACACAATATCTTTGTACAAGGTGTTCAATTTAAAAAATACCAACTCATCGGTGTTCAATAACAACTACACCAATTCAAAGACAGAGAGAGCTTATGGCAACAACTATTACTCACACAGACAATGCTTCGATTTTAAGTGCTGAATAGTTAGATAAGGATGATGTTGACTTGTCTGGTATATCAGTCCCGCAAGATGAAAATGATAAATCAACTACTATAGACTATGCCCATCAGAGGCGTCATTTCAGTCCCGTTTCAAGGGGAAAAAAAAGGGGGGGGGGAACCAAAACTTGTTTGGCTTGTTAAGTTGTGTATTACTGGATGTGCCACAGTACATAACAGTTAAAATAAAACCAGAAAAATCGGGGGAGAAATGCCCTCCTGCTCTATCCAAAAGATATCCTAAAAAAATATGCCCATTGTTACGATAGAGCAACACCTGCCTACTCCATGGGAAGATCATAGCAACTAGAAACTATACTATAATTGTCAGCTATACTGACAATAATCATGTATGGTTTGTGTGGCTTTCTGAAAACCGTCTAATTATTAATGAAACACACACGTTTTAAAAAGCTATACTGGCAATAATCATATTTATACTTCCACAAACAATTATATTTAGTCTTTAACAAACTTTTAATTGATTCTGCATTATAAAATTTAATTGTAAAAACTTTTTAACGTGTTGATTAAGAAGCTAAAGATGTAATAAAATGTTTTACCTACAATTTTAAGTTATTAAAAATACTGTACATCAGCACAAAGTAAAACGTATTTATAAATGTATTTATAGGCCTATTATAATTTTTTTTTTTTGGTGGGGGCGGGGGGTTATAAAATGTTGACATAATTAAATAGGGGGGTCATCGAAAGTTTGACAGTTGTTGACAAGGGGGGGGGGTGTCAAAAATTGCGGAAAAATTGTTGATGTAATTAATGGACAACCCCCAAACTCTTTTTTTTTCTTCTTTTTTTTTCGTCCTCTCTCTATGCTCAAGATGAGAAATGTGCTGGTTCACTGCTCCGACATAAAAAAGAAGCAGTTCCAATTCATAAAAATAAGAACTCAGTACAGGAGCTCCACATTCCTGCCAAAGACAATAAGGGACTGGAACAAGCCTCCAAAAGCAACAGTTGAGACGACTGCACTTGACAAATTTGCGTCTATTGCCTCCTGTCTTCCAATCCCTAGTTCATAATACAATTATTGAGTAGCCCTTGCAACCAGTAAGGTATCCCCTTCAAAACTATACACAGTTACATCGCGAACCCCCCCCCCCCCCCCCCCCCCCCCCCCAAACATAGGAGCCAGAATGATCAATTCGTTGATCGTGGGCCCTCAAAATATTGAAGAAGAAGACTTTCTCTACCATTGCGAATACTCTAAGTTGATATAAAATTAACACACAAAAAACGGACCAAACAAAAGGCACACAATTAATAGCGAAAAGAGATCATTTCACTACAGCTTCCAGTGAACTGAATGACAAGAGATCATTTCACTACAGCTTCCAATGAACTGAATGACAAGAGATCATTTCACTACAGCTTCCAATGAACTGAATGACAAGAGATCATTTCACTACAGCTTCCAATGAACTCAATGACAAAGACAAAGCGTATGGGTGGACCGAGTGCTGGGGAATCGACGAAAAAAAAAAAACTCACGAAAAGGAAAAATATTGATGGGCATTTGGATTCTAAAGTAAGGTTGCCGGATGCAAAAATTTAAAAGGAGGCCTTTTGATATTGAAAAGATCGGAAAAGGATGGCATTTTATTTTTGAACGGACTTTTCAAAATTAGAATGAATTTAAGATATAAAGGTTTATTCTGAAATAAACTAATAATGACACCATTAAAATACGTTTTACACCTACTTTTGACACTAACTTGGGCATTTCAACATGCATATCAGAGCTAGCTGCTTTTGACAAAAGTTCTTCGTCTCTAGTAGTTCACGATAAAAATCCTAGCAAGTCATATTCTTGAAATTGAATGGTGTGAGTATTATCGCTTTTGTTGACTCCTCAACAAGGCTTTTCCTCTACTCAGTCCATTAAGGATTTATCAGTGAAAAAGATCTATCCAGGTCTGCATTATGAGCAGGAATGCCAAAATAGAATTCACAAATTTTCAGTAATTCTGAAAAACAGTCACTACTGGGGCAATATTTGAAAAATACCTTGCAATGTCTTCGAAAAACTTAGTCCATTAGTCTTCAGATTAGTCGAATGACAAAATGGGTCATACAATTTCAAGTTTGGCATCATCAATAACATCTGTCTCGTGTAATAACTCAATACAAGTAATCAATTCTTCATATTTGTCTTGATTGTGTGCTTTAAGTACCATCCACCCAAAACACAATTGTGGGATCTATTCTTTCCAGTATATTCAGTAGATGCTTTATAAACATGTTGAAATTTGACATATATAATGTTCGCCACATGGTCCAAGGACCGCAATAGTACAGCGATGAAACTAAGTTAGGGCATTAAAGGATAACACCCCAGGTGGGGCAATAAAGGATAACACCCTAAGCTGGGCCCATGAAGGATAACACCCTAAGCTGGGGAAATAAAGGATAACACCCTATGCTGGGGCCATAAAGGATAACACCCCAAAGCCCAATTTGGGTGCAGATAGATCAACTTAACACCCAAAGCTGGGGAAAAAAAGGAAAACCCCCTATGGGGGGGCAAAAAAGGATAACCCCCCAAAGCCCAATTTGGGTGCAGAAAGAACAACCCCCCCCCCCCCGAATGCTCTCCTCCCTGGATAAAACTGCTGTACCTCTAGATTTTCAATTATCTAAAATTTCTGCTGTGTAGCTGTATAAAAAATGCCTTTCTATCAAAGACCTGTTTAAGCCACTAAAAATTAAAAACTAATTTAAAATTTCTTAAAATGTATCACGCAAAGAAAGTCTGTGCAGAAAATATTTAAAAAAATGAATAAAAATAAAACATATCAGTTTCTTCTACATTCATGCATAGACTTCAGCAGTCTTTCTTTGCCTCCTCCCCTGGCTATTCACTCATTGTTGAGTATCACCCTGCAGGAATTACAACATGCCACCAATGAGGTGGGGGTAGGAGGGGGGGAAGAGAGATGATTTCTGTACTTTTCATATTATTTCATCCATAGTGAGTTATATTTGTATCACTTTTGTTGAATCATATGTGTTGTTTTAAGTCTGTGAGAAGTTCATGTGATTTGGTACTTGCCAGTTGATGCAACCATCCTGGACATAAAAATCCACAGTAAACACAAATACTGATGAATTCTATTCCTTTGTAGTGTATAAGTATCAGTACTTTAAAATACTAATTCATATAATGGCAAAAGAATTATCAGTTATATGATAAATTAATCAACTAAAAATCAATTGATTCATTAAGACCTCATTTGAACCAATGGCCAAAGAATCCTCTTTCTATCAACGTCTTCTCTGGGTGCTGCCTGAAGGTTTTTTAGTTTCTATTCAGCAGATTTATGGCTAGTGTTCTTTTCCAGGATTCTTACTCAACAAAATTATCAAAGTATATAGTGGTGGAGACTAGCATTGAAGAGTTTCGAGTGGGAACTCATGGCCCATTTGGTCATAGCCAAACAGTGCTTTATTTATGAACAAGATACTTTAGATTCATCCAACACATAACCCACATTTTTTGTGTTGGCCTTGGTGCCACTTACTAGGGCAAGGATTACATTGTTAACATTTATTATTACCATCAGAAGAAAAAGGAAATCTAATAAGACCGAAAGTCAAACTACTCCTTGTGTATTTAATCTAAAAACAGTTTGATGAACACAGCAACACAATCATAAACTCATCAATTTAAACACAATACAATGTCATTTGTTTTCTTTCTAAGAATGAAAAATTTAATGAAACATAAGAACCGAACAAGTAAATCAACTTCATTGATCAAATGAGGAAAAACGGTTTTCAATAACATTAACAAGTTTCAAAATTAATATTAAAAAAACCCCAAAAAAACAGTCAGTTAAATACAAAGCTATGTTTTTTAAAAAGAATACTTCCAACAGCTTAAATTAAAAAAACATTCGACATTATAAGAAAATAGCAGAAATGGAAAACAGTCATATACATATTTATAAA